CCAATAAGTTAGTGTCTTGCATAATTATGGTGATAAATCTGGAATTCAAATTTATTTTTATTTTTTCTCACACTTTTAAGTTTTCCTGACGCAAAAAAGAAAAAGAAAGAAAAAGAGAATGCCAATTATACGTTGATATAGTGTGATGCATTTCAACAATAATGATAACAGAAAATAACCAGTTTTGAGCTTTTTCATTATTTTCTTTACTTATCATGCTATTTCATAATATAATAAAATAATTAATTATAATAAATGACCGACACGATTGCTGTATAGATTTTTTAAAATAAATATATAGTTTAGCAAATTGTAATAATGGAAAAAATAAGAAAATCTGTGTAAAAAATTTATTAAACAAAAATTTTTTAAAAGTGGTTTTTTGAAAAATTCGATAAAATCGATAATACATTATTATTACAGCAATTATTATTGAATGTTCTCAGTTTTGAGTAATTTCACAAAATTTCTCAAGTTGCATATCAAAAATATAATTTTATAAAAGTAAATTTTATGGTCCAAATAAAAAATTGATTTCACGGTTAAATTAATATATATTACAATAAGAATTGATCTCAAAATTAAATTAATAACTCATAATTTTATGATAATTAATAATTCATAGTAAATAAATAATTTCGCAAGGCACCAGAAATTCGTTCAAAATTAAATAATTTTTCAATAGAGAGAGAGAGAGAGAGAGAGAGAGAGAGTATTTAATATAAAGATTATTTAAAATTATCTTAACAAAGATATAAATTTAAACACATTTATTTTAATGTCACGAATCTTAGTCAAAAGATACACGTAATCAGTCAATACTCCGCAGAGAGTTACGTACGATTTAATAATCACACACGTGATTACGGTATCTGCAATTGTAGGTAAAATAATAAATCACGTGTAAATAAATTAATGATCGAAATTTGGGGAAGGCAAACTCAGGCAGTCTTCAAACAGGAAGATTTAAACAGAAACTCGACGAGGGCGTTTTTAAATTGTATTTTAATTATTATATATATCGTCTCTTGTACATAGAGTCTTTTATACGTCGATTTAAAGATCTCGTCGTATTTATATACTGCAAAAAAATAATTACCGATAACATCATAGATGATGCTTTCTGGCATGCTTTCCGAGCAAAAGTGGACGTCGTGTCATCAAGAATTTCGCGATATTAGGGTCATTGAATTGTTGATGTCTGGAGAATTAATTCGAACGCAGATGAAGATGTGGCAATAAACAGATAAAGCATATACCGATAAGAGAATATTGATCACAGATTTGATTGGGTTAAATTGTTTATAGAAAACAAGGCTAAGAAACTTTCCCAAAAATTCGAAAGTTAAAAAAAGCAAGAGTGAACAGACGGTATGCGTATGGAAAGATAAGAAGCTCTCTCTTTCTTTCTCTCTCTTTCTTTACATATATAAAACATCTTGGAATTGGATAAAAAACGACTGCATTTAGTGATAAAGTCAGTCGACGTGTATATACACATACTTCATTATACGCGCTCCAATGTGAATATAAAAATCGTAAATAGAAACACGATGTTACATCGTTTATATTTTAATCGAAATTAAATAAATAAATGAGAAGTTATATCGAGATCGTTAGGTTTAAGTTTTTCGTAATACAAAATAATTAATATTAAGAGATCGGTCAAGACCTAGACTAGGCAAAGACATTTATTTTTGCACCAAGTAGATTATTGGACAGCGATTGATTGTAAGTATAACATCGTTATTATTATATGAGTAAAAAATACATTAATTAAAAAGAATAATTTCAAAATACACATAAATTCTCTCATTCGGACTCTTCATTATCATGTGTAGAAACAATTGTTATTTTGACAAAAGTTTTATTATACTGTAAAAAAATTTGTTAACTTGACTAAATCCTTCAACTAAATATTATTTTGTTAATTGAACATATAAACATATTTAAATTAAATGTAACATATTAAATCTATTAAAACGTATATTTGACTTAAATACTAATATATGTTCAATTAACAAAATAGTGATTTAGTTGAAAGGTTTAGTCAAGTTAACAAACTTTTTTTACAGTGTATAAATTTCGATAATAAAAATCTTCTTAATATATCACTACATATTTCACAAATCGATATTTTATCACATATTTAACAGACTGAAAGTTTTGGATCTTATTTTCCATCTATGATAGTTCAAAATTTAATATATCGCCATAATTTTCAGCAATGATATAATTCGAGTTGATGTATCGCTATAATTTTTTTTACTAAATTCTTGAGTTCCAAACGCGATGATATAAGAAAGATATAAAAGTAATAATATTAGACGTTTTTTGACGTAAGTCATCGATAACTTTACTTTGTATTATATCTTATTGCATATTCTGAAATACATAAATCATCGTAATGATTTTGCGAATAAAAATAAATAATAAATGATAAATAAATGAACTATAAAGCATATATAAAAGGGTTAATGAAATATATCAAAATATATTTACACATACATACAGAATTCTGTATGTATTTTTATATATACATACAAAATTATAAATTATAAAACGTTAGATGTACCGTCTCTATTGTGCGAGTTAATAGCGGAGTTAAATGCGATAGTTATTCGCGAGAGGAAAACAGAGAAAAACATGAATTCTAGATTTATGCCCCTAATACTGATCATGTATTATTAAAATTATCCTATATTATATTCATATCTTGTATAAGTTTCTGACAACAAAGTAAAGATACTGACACTCGTGTAATAAAAATGACATGCAAAAAGTACAACTTTCATTAACACGACGTTTGTGACATTTGTAGAAAAATTCTGTCATTTAATCGCGGTTAATAAAATTCGAGTGTTTGATTATTAAAATTATTTTTTAAAATACATATATTTCTTCATAAATTATATACAATTCTTCATAAATTAATCAAAAACATTGTATTTTATATATGTATATCCATTTATTAATAGCTTCCTGACAATGCGATGTTAGAATAGATTAAAAATATGGAATATAATTTTCTCTCTCTCTCTCTCTCTCTCTCTCTCTTTCTCTTTCTCTCTTTTATGTAACTTATATTGCAACAAATGCACTTGTTTATTTGTAAAAACATCCGCTATTTCGCAGAATAAATAAAATAATCTAGTCAAAGAAAATATCTCTCCATATATATATATATATATATATATATATGTAAATAATATTTTAATGTAACTAAATATTTAAAAAATTCTCGAATTTTGTTATCAATATTATTTTGTTTATATAGCGTGCATTAATTAACTAATTTAGAAATGTCTCTTCGATAGATTAAATCCAGTTTCTCAATCAATCAATTTCATTTTTCAATTTTCAAAATTGCTGAGCAAATCTTAACGAATAAAAAAATTAACAAAATACTAATGATCTACTAAAACACGCCACGCAACATACGATGTGTGTCGTCATTAAATAATTATAATATTTATTAGTTTGTCGCGGCGATAAATAAAACAATGAATACAGTGGTTTATGTCTAATCGATTTAGTCATAGTCTAATCGTTCCAATGTCAAATGATATCTTCTCAATATTTTGATATTTAAGATATGATGATGAAACAGCATTGCACATAGAGAATGTTTTCCGGTTTCGATGATAAAGCAATCTTATTTTATTCCAATTATCTCGTTAAATACATAAACACAGAAATTCATGAAAAGACACGTATCAAAAAGAATACATATCTGCTTTTGTTGTCCCAGTATCATTTTTATATCTTCTTAGTAAATAGTAACGTATATAAAAAATATTTGTTCTTTCCGTAAAGTAAAAAAAATTGACCTAAATTTTATAAGATATAAATATCACGCGTACACGTGTAATGCAAATGTAACGCGAATGACTGCATGGAAGTCGCATTCACTTTCGAGTTTCGTAATCGTTACGTCTTCGATCCGGTGAACAGGCGCCGAATTTACCAAGCAATATTGGTCTTATTGATAACCTTTTCATTTCCACAAGAGATGTCTTTCGAAAAAGGCGATGAGTGCTTTTTCAAACTCATAATAGATAGATAGTGTGTAATAAATATTAATAATAATTTTTAGTAACAATTTAACAAAAAAACCTAATAATTTTATCAATACAATTTTCTTTCAATTTACATTTTTTAATAAAAATGCAGTTATCGTTACATTTCATTGGTGCCATTAAAAAATCACGTATTTCTTGCGAGACAGACATCTATATACTATATAATAGGATGAAAAGATCATATCAGCAAATTTGCGATACATGCAAATGACATATGTATCAATTTGCATTATACACGTGTTACCATTATGTCAAAAATTTCATTTTGTTATTAATTGATAATCTGATATAAACTCATCTTTTTCGAAAAACAGAAACTTTTTCAAAAAATTCCCTCTCACATTACCGGAAAACGCGGAATGTTCTATCCGAAATTCGTGACAGCGAGTATCACAATAATATAAATTAACGCACCATGACAGTGGCGGTAGCTTCTCTTCTTTTTAAATCGTTGCCTTTCAAATTGTTGGTTTTTGTGAACCTGACGGAAGCTGCGTGTAGCGAGATCTCGAGGGGTCGCTGTATTTCGCGCGCACACTTCTGCAAACGCGCACAGTCGGAGGGATACAAATGTGTCTGTCAACATGCGTATACACATTCAGAAACACACATACATATAAATAAGGATACACACACATATATGTATCCCACTCTATTGGTGAAGAAGCTAGTCCCTGACGGTCAGTATAGTACCGGGCATCAGTAGCATATATAAGGGCAGCTCTTCCGTCCGTTCATGCATTAACCAGAGGGAGTCGAAGCAACCGCGTGACACGACGTTGTAGCGCGCGCGGTAATAACAGTTTGGTGCCTCCATTCGATTCGTTCGTGATTAAGAAATCGATTTTTTTCTTAAGCTTTTATTGTGACGCCTCTCTCTTTCTCTCTTATTCTTTCGTTCTCTCTCCCTCGCTCTCTTTCTCCTTCTCTATAATGAACTTCGCGCAAGATCGTCACCTTTCGCTTCCTTTGAGACGCGCTCACACCTAGCTCGGGTTTTCTTTCTCGCAGAATACTACTGAACGTCTTCGCGCTAAGATCGAATCTCTCGACTAGATCTCGCTGCGAGAAATAAGAGTCTCGGACTGATTACTTCGACGTAATCTTAATCTTTTTTCAAGAAATCTCGGGATAAAATGTTGTATTTGTCTTAGTGTTAGATCTGGCGAAAAAACTTGAAAAAATTTGGCTTTGCAGTCCTTTTGCCGTGGGAAAGGAGAAACCAATATTATATCGAGGAAGCATTGGTAGAAGACAATCGGAGAGTGCCGATCACAATACTCGTCATCATGATTGCTGCATTGAGCCTATTGACAGGAGGATCTTGGGTGACTGTCTTTCTCTCATTCTGTCTACTATCATTCCTGTTGATTCTACTGGTACAGCGAGGAAAATTTTTGTACGCCTTGAGGAAGGTGCCCTATCCCACAGCACTGCCTGTCATCGGTAACGCTTATCAGCTCAACTGTTCGCAAGAAGGTAAGCCCTTGCACTTTTAGAATTTTAAAATGTATCGGAGTACATTAAATAGTATATAAACATATTAAAAAATATACATGGACATCGCGTGATATAACGTGCGTATCTATATCTTGTACGCATGATAATGTAATATCAATTTGTTAATGCACCGTCATCGTTGACGAATCGGATAGGTCATATAACAACTTGTTACAAATAAGTCTAAATGCGATATTCATTGCGATACCGTTCTTATTTTAGTGTATATGTTATAAAAAAAAGATATTCTTTTGAAGAAGCTGTGTGTATAACCTACTGATCTCTATATATAACTGGATATAGCATACCCCATAGCTGTAAAAAGTGTGACCAATAGAAGCAATTAAAAGTGTGGGCTGTATCTACATTTCCGTAGCAACAATAAATTATATATATATATATATATATATATATATATATACATATATGCAAAATATATATATATATATGTATGTATAAATACACTGAAAAAAAAATTATTGAATCCGAATAAATATTTATTTCAATACTGCCTAATAAATCATTTATTTGAAACTAATAATATTGATTTAAAGTGAAAAAGATTTATTTGATATAAGAAAATCCTTTTCAAACCAGATAAATATTTATTTGTTTCAAATAAATAATTAATTAGGCAGTATTAAAATAAATATTTATTAATTTAATTTTTTTTTCAGTGTATATATATTGTCATTATAATGTCAAAATAAACGCCTACATAATATATTCATATTATGTAGACAGAGGACAGAGATGCAAGTTTCAATTAGTCACACGTTTTTTGCTATAATGCCATATCAGTTATATATAGAGAGATCAGTGGTATAATTAAAATAATATTATTCTTCCAAAATTCAGATAAGAAATAAACTAAGAGTCAAACGCAGAAAATAGATGCCAAAAACTATTTTGTATCGCTGATGTCATGGCATATACATATATGTATTTCTTTTGGTTGTTTTATATATCACTGTCTATTTTCTATCTGAATTTTTGTATTTGTATATCCGAGTTTTTTTTGTATTGCATTCATATTTTTATCTTTAACTAAGGAGGGAGAGAGAGAGAGAAAAGAAAAGAGAGAAGAGAGGGAGAGAGAAAAGAAAAAATAAATTAGAATAAATAACATGAAAAAATATCCTCTGTATTTTGATATATTTAGAGCCGGTTGTTCCAACTCTTGGTAAGTTTTACCCGACAAGTAACTTATATTTGTTTCTTTTTTTAGAACTTATCTGAAAAGAGACAAAAATATGCTACTTGTCAGATAAAACTTACCGAGAAGTTGGAAAAATCGGCCCTTAATACATTTTGTTTATAAATTTTATATTTATGCAGAATTTTGCCTAAATTGTCTAATATAACTTTCATATATTAACTTTTTTTATGCAATATGTAATTACTGAAAAACATTTTATATAAAATGATTAGCAGAATCTATTTTACAAACTAAATTCTTCATACGTTTAGATTCAAAACTCATAGAAGAAGCTTTCATTCATAAATATTTATGTAGAAAGATAAGATTAAACTAAAATAAAAGAATATATTCTGCGTTGCAGAATTTGATCTTTGATCATTTGCGATGAATATCCAGAATATCTAAATATCTCATGCAATATCTATAGATTATTTTAGTTTTTTTTATGTTAAATAGAAAAGTGTCACTTTTGAAAAGCATCTCTATTGAAACATGACATAATGTATTTGTCCTTTTTTAATGTAAAGGATGTAAAGAATATAAAGAATTTGTTTATTGTAAATAAAATCGTGATGTATTTTGCAAAATGTTGAAGTCAGGAGACCAAGGTAAAATATTATTTTGCTACTCTAATTTTAATAAATGTCAACATTTCTACCTTTAAAATGAAATATTTATAAAGACGTCAAGAGATATAAAAGATATGGAGATACAATTTTTTATTTTATTTTAGACTTTTATCAATTAATTTTTGAGAGTTCATTTCCTTTCCGTTCTCTGTTTCTCTTTCTCTTTCTCTTATTCTACAAGCAGTAGACATTTTCAATTCAAATTAATTAAATAAACAATAATTAATTATGCAGAAATAAGCATTTATTTTTTATTTGAAATAAAAAATGCTGTATTAATATTATATCAGAAAACACACTTAATATTCATATATTCTATATATAACATATATAACATATGTGTTCATATAAATTTTGTCTTTATCACGGTTGAGAAATAGAATTTAATTAATTTTTATTTATAACACTTTTCTATGTCATTATGACATAACGTGTTCGGTAATCGCGTAGCTGATTTATGATTAAGTATAAATAATCATATTTGTCTTGTCATTGTGGCAAAACATACGTTACATCGAATCATATCATATATTTTCATCACTGTTTCGCGTGCCTATTAACGCGCTGATTAGCAAGCGATTAGCAGACAAGAGTGTAACTTGATTAAACACGGAACGTCATCATGTATCATGCACCAATTAATTCGGAGATTTACAATTCTAAAAATTATTTTGAAATGTGTTCTCTCTCTCTCTCTCTCTCTCTTTAATAAAATAAACTCTTGACAGAATTGATAAATCGATGAAATGATATAAGTTTTTAAAAATTCATGTAATCTGCATAGCTGTTCAAAATAGCTTAATAATTTCTTTGACGTTTAAAAAATTCACACGAATAATTCTGCAATGCTGAAAACAGACACATGCCAATTTTGTTTGCGCGAAACAATTGACTTAGAATATATAGGAATTGCTCTATACGATTCTTTCTAAATTATCGATTTCTATTATATTTAATAGAATTTTAATAAGTCAAATGATATTAAGTTCAAATGCAATGAGATTAAATCGAAAAGCGACGCGAAATTATTTGACAGAAAAGATTTATATATTTTCCTATATTATAGTTTTTATATCATTTATGCAAAATTATAAGGCGACTAAAATCATTGAATTATACTGTTCGATTAATTGATAAAAATACTTGAATTTATCTCGATTCCTATTTTAAAATATGCATACATTTTTGTCAATAAAAGTACCAATAGATTTTCGATAATCTAAATGGAAATTTTCGTTTAGAAAAATATAACATATTTAAGGCAAATTTTGTATATACAAAGAATGATCTACTTATTATAGCTTTAAGATAGATAAATCAGTTTTTGTTATTATAATAACATTCGTATAATGATGATTATACTAAATACACGTATTATTATGATATCCGCTATTCACAGAATAATATATATATAGAAAATATAATCTTTATCCGCAATAAATAGATTTTTTACATCGTAAAAAAAGTTAGACAAGATTTATCCTCGTACGTTTCATTCATCCGCGTATATTTTAATTTCATTTCAATTTAAGATTGCTCATGCAAAATGAAATATTTTTTCATAATGACCGAAAGCGTGCAATAAATAACCGAGTATACAAAGTTTATAATATAATTGTAATATATATTATATACATCGCACAAAGATTTGTTAAGATAATCAAATTGAGTATTATAATAAAAGACAAAAATAATTTCGCGCGCAAATACACCCGCAATTACACAAAGAAAATAAGGAAGTACGCGAGAAAAGAATGATTCGCGAAATCCATCTCGAGTCGCAAGTGGTAATCGACAGCTACCCCACACGTGTAAGGAAATGAAAAAGAAAATAAGAAGAAGCGGGTCGAGGTCGTTCAAGTGGTCTGAGTGACGGCGTGTGTACTTACACGCGATTTTATACATGCAACAGTGTTATGTATTCTCCTTTCGTTCCGGGGAGAGAATAAAAAGAGAAAGCATGCAGGATAAGGCAGTGGATTAAAAAAAAGGCGCAGACTCTCATACTTGAGATTTCTCGCGGTCGATTTGGCTGCCGGAGAATGACTCCGAGTCAGACGTCCTCGTCCGCGAGGAGAAAATAGAATCTGAACTTTTGATGTAACACGTGACAATTTATTAATTGGATCGACCGGCACAAAGTCGGCGTGCAATTAATGCACGCTTTGCGCGAATATATATTGCTAAAAAATCGTCGTTGATTCTTATTGTTTTGTAAGACGGGAATTGAATAATGGATATATCCTTTATTTAAAGCGATAAAATCTTGTTAGCCTACAACGTCGATCTGCTGCAATACTGCTAATCGATATTATTTTTCTCATCTATTTTTGCATTTTGTATCCTTGTAAAAAATTTTGGCTCGACATCGAAATTTATGACAATCAGACCATAATTTATATCAGATTGATGAAAAAAATTGTTATTGAGAGTTGAACTCATTGACCTTTAGTCTCTATACGCTAATGTTTAATATAATTTTATAGATGAAATAATATTGTATTATACAGCGATAAAAAAGAAAAAAGAGAGAAAAAGAGAAATTAAAAAATTTCCAATAAAATAAAATAAATAAACAATAAAAGTGTAAATATTGAAAATTGTTTGAAAATTAAAAAAGATCATTTTATTTTTAATTTAAAAACTCTTATACATAAATTAAATTCTTTATCTTTATATAACAATGCGATAATTTAAAATAAATCTCAATCTGCCGCATATGCAATATCCATTAAATAATGGACAGTAGACAAAATACAATTATATATATGTACTTTGATGCAAAAAAATACCGGTTCGAATTGTCGCGCAAAAAATCCGGTCCCTCTTTATTTTATGCATAATACATTAATACCTGTACATTCACGTGTTATGTCATATTTATTCTTCGTTTAAATTCGCGACGTATTTTGGGAGGGGGAGGGAAGGAGAACGCATATCCGGTGCAAAAATAGACTGTCGATGACTTCCACTATCGTTCGAAGGACGCTTAGCGTTTCGTTGCACACTTACCAAGGACAGAGCCTTTCGTTCTTTTCCAGAGCGATATCTCTCTCTCCTTATTTCTCTTTGTCCTTTCTCACATTCATCTATCATCCATGTGCGGTGCAAATATATATATATATGTTCAAACCGGTCAATGTCCGGTCAGTCTCTCGCGTCAACTCGCACGTGCAGCTCGATTTCTCTCTTGCTCCACTACATCGTCTTGATACTCTTTCTTAATTCCCTATCTCTCTTTTTTCTCTTTCTTTTTTTTTTTATCTGCTTCTACCTCAGCCTTTTTCTCTTTTGCACATGCCATTCAAAAAAGATAAATAATCTCATCTTATTTCTTTTTTATCTTATCGAAATAAACTACACGTACCACAATGATTATTATTTTAATCGAACATAGAAATCTTATTTATTATAAATTACATACGTAAATAACAAAGAGAGTTTCCTCTCTCTCTCTAAAAAAATAGACATACAAATTAATTATATTTTCGCGGTCATTGACCACGACGCGTGTGTAGATAGACCTTGTACAACTTTGTGCTCGATCAATTATCGAGTCATTATTGTAGATTTGTGCAACTTTGTGCTCGATCAATTATCGAGTCATTATTCTAGATTTGATTTATGTTTTGTTGATGCGAATTATATCAATCTTCTCTTCTCTTCTCTCTCTCTCTCTCTCTCTCTCTCTCTCTCTCTCTCTTCTCTCTCTCTTTGTCAAAGCAAAAATAAAATAATAAAATATGTATATATAAAGATCAATGCGTATAGATAAAGATTATGACACTTAATTGTTATTTCATTTTTTAACTTTCTGTCAAACTTATCTTAATTTACTACTATTTAACTTTTCATTCCTAATAAATATTTGACAAAATTAAATTATTGTTTGCTATTCATCGTATTGTCGTCCACATCCGGTTCCTTTTATCGCTGCGGCTTTTATTTTCGCTCTTAAAGAGTTGATATTCGTACCAACGACACATAGAGAGGACCTAGAACTATGATAGTGACATGATAATTCACCGAGTACAAAGTTGCACAAGAAATCTATCCACACACGTGTTACGGTCAGTGACCGTGAAAGTAGGTAATTGATTGAATAACTGAGACTGATCCTCATAAACACATCGTAATGCACTAATGAGCGATTTGTATCAAATGTATATTCTTGCGAAATAAAACGTCGTTAAATTAGTTTCAAGTATTTTTGAAAATGTGCATTCTTAACAATTTTTGAGAATATGCATCTTAACAAGATAATGTCTTTTGAAAGGAATTTAATAAATTCAAAAAAAAATGTGAACAAATTTTCTTATTCCATATATAATATGTGTTCCGTTAAAATATAATAATTAAGATTTTATATTAAATGTTAATTAATGGAAAATTGTAAATTTATTTAATAAGAAATTTTAAAATACCATGCATTGCAGATTTAATCCGTGAATAGATATATCTCAAATCACATATATTTTCATAAATTTGTTCGCATTCATATTATAATATGATTTTAATATATTTTTTTACGCACGAGTAAACACAATAAACACAAGAATAGCGACTTGAATGTGCAAAAATCTGACAAAAATAAATTCAGAAAACCGAAAATAAATTTTGTTGAACTTTTTTGACTTCTCTATTTTTAATATAGAATATAGAATACGCTAAAAATATTCTCGTATTTATTAGAATGCGAGTTTACGTCTAAAATTTAATAATTCATTTCTTTTGTTGCAGATTTTTTTCAGAAATTGGTCAAATGGGCTCGCGAGTTTGGCGACATTTATTTAGTTTGGGTTGGTCTGCGGCCTTTTATCTTCCTCTACAGAGTAGAAACGGTGCAACCCCTGCTTAGTAGCAGCGTGCACATCGACAAGAGTCTCGAATATCAATATTTGAAGCCGTGGCTTGGTACCGGTCTGGTGACCAGCACTGGTAAGTGCTTTAATTATATATGTAAATATACATATGTATATTAATCAACTCAAAATCATATTACGATAATAAGGATTAATGTCATCCATATCGGACATGATCAAATCTAAATATCCTGTCATTTATGAGAGCTTAGAATCACGTTGCTATTTGCATTTATAATTTGCAAACAATATTACTGGGTATGTAACAGATAATGTGTAATTGAATTAATTCATATATCTTGATTTATTTATAAATCAAGTTGCTTATATTTAGATTTCTATTGCTGAACGGTCCGCGTATAAATTTACATCAAATATAACTGAATATTATATGAGTTGTAAAAACTATAGGAATAAATATATAGATGTTGAAATTGCATAAAACATTTTTATAAAGTAAAAAGAGATTGCTACCAAGGATTTTTAAATGCGCAAGAGCTGAAAAACCATATCACATGCAAACATCAACATGATTTTTAACTGTGGAAATATTATTATTGGCAACTTAAAAAATAATTAAAATAAATCAGATATTCACAGCGCTGGTGTGATCAGCCATTAATACCACAATATTTTAAAATTGTTTTATTTAAATACATGAATAAGAGATGAGCGAAAGTCGACTCAGAACTACTAATCTCTAAATTAATTTCTTGATAACATGTTTAAATTGCATACAAAATTATTTTCTTTTACACTAAACTCTATCAGCCTAAAACAATTCGCAGAAAGCAAATTTGCACGTATCAAATATAGGATATCTTTTTAAAATAATTATCGATAATAATTGGACGTGATTTAAAACCGTACTAAGTATATCTGCTTCCTAAAGTCGATTATTCGGATTAGATTGAACAATTATCACATCTTAGTACATCTTCTAGAAATAAAAATGAAATAAAAAATGAAAAAAAAATTTATTCGGAATTTAGAAGTTCTGGTAATTGAAGCTCAATCTTTAAATTAATATTTAAAGTTTCATGAAACCAAAGTAATATCAAATTTTTGTATTTCATAAATCTTTAATTATAAACGTGAAATTTTTATTTAAGAATGTACTTGACACACATCGATGGTCTATCATTGGTGACAAATGATAAGACTATTGTTTAAATAGTGTTGCGAAATTTCGAGATGGAGACGTTGGATGTTGCAATGTTAAATAAAATTTGTGTTTAAATAGCACTTATAGAATGGGACAGACCGAGAAGATAACGGGATCGAGATCTTACAATGTCCGGGATCGATATCTTAAAATGTCTTTTAAGTTTAAAAGGTCTTATAAGTACATGATTATCGGTCAAAAACAAATGTTTCTCCAATGTTACTACATTGTGCTCTTTGAAAACATTTGAATATTTAAAAAGTTTCCACGCGAAGATTAAAATATGATGTTTCTCCAGATCAAAAAAATTTAATTCCTTCTTTCTGAAAAAGTAATACTTTTTTTTATTTGTCGCAAAAACTTTCCGTTAATTTTAGTCTCGGATAAAACATTTTGTTGCTTTGTATTTTTATTGCTTAAATAATTTCTGAAATCGCGACGATATGCAATAATATTCAATGACATAAAAATAAATCTCAGACACGTTAATTGCATTATGAATAGTCATCGTAATCGTCTCCTTTAATATATTATATTAAATGAACTATTGTACTATAATAGTTATAATATATATATTATAATCAATTATCATCGTATGTAAAATGAAATATTCTTTTTTTAGGTGAAAAATGGCATTTTCGTAGAAAGCTACTAACGCCGACCTTTCACAGCGGTCTTCTTGAAACTTATTTTAAGACTGCGAAAGAAGAGACGAGTGTTTTAATTTCTTGTCTCAAAAAAGAAGCGAATCAATGGTTTGATGTGGTTCCCTATGTAAAACGCGCCGCCCTCGATATTATATGCGGTGAGTTGATATGATTTGCTGTTTTGGATCCAGTAGTTTAATTAATCTGATTTCAAAACTGATTTTAATATGATAACCAATTTTTTCGCACATTATGAATAAACAATTATATTTTCTAATAAATTTATTATTTTCTAATAATATTTATAATATTATTAGAAATATAATATTATTATAATAATAATACTACTTAAAAAATAATTATTATATTATAATAATATTATTTATATAATAAATAATATATTATTATTAAATAATAATAAGAAAATAAGAAAATAAAGAAAATAAAATAATATTATTATATAATAACATTTATAATATTATTTTCTAATAAAAAAGCGATATTTTCTAATAAAAAATATCGCTTTTTTATACCAATTCAAGATATTTTTTGTTGTTTTATCGTTAAAAAAATGTATTAATTTTTCCAGAAATATATATAGGGAAACTAAAACGTAAAGTATTTTTTTATCGAATAAAAGTTCAATCATTAGCTAATTGACACCCTTCATTATCCTTGATGATTATGACATCGAGATCTACATTTACGAATGGCGCAAAATCACGAATCCTTCTTCTAGTCCAGATTAATGATAACGATGCTTCTATCTGAGTTTGTATTATTAAGACAACACAACGACTCTCGTTTTTTCGTTTTCTTCGATATTTCAGATTTATTTTCTCGTTCTAACCTCATGCTTCTCGCGACACAATTGTTGTCTGAAGTCCAGCTGAAGTAATCTCCGTTAATAACAATCGTAATCTCATAATTAAATTTTAATGAAGGAGATTTCTGCATATCAACCGAGTACATTGATCCTGATTAATGAAGATTAAAATTTGTCTTATTTGACACAAATACGACGCATTCTTGTCGCAACAAATAATACTTGAGAAAATAATACGCGTAAAAAAATGTAAGATAAAAATTAACGATCGAAGGAAATCGACGCATAATGTGTCAACAGATTCCCGCGACCGCGACAGCAGTTCCATATTAGAATATGCACAAATGCTACTCGCAACAATGTACTCAAGGCGATAAGCAGAAAATTCTTTCGCGTTCTTTTTTTCGTTGATTTTGATATCGCAAATAATTTGTGTTAATGGCGAAAAATAATTATGTTATCAAAAATTTAAAAAATTAATTAAGTGCTATATTACCGAGAAAGTCCTTGAAATGATTTCATCATTTCTGATTTATCTTTCCCTGATAAGTCGAATCGCTTCGCTTTGGCAATGTGATTCATTTTCTTTGAGAATAAATTCCGAATTTTCGAATTACATGATTGATGTATCCGCGTTGATAACCTAAAATGTCGATTTTTTCGCGGCTGCGATAACTCGATTATCCGTTCCGTAGCTGTCACGCAATACAAGATAATGCTTAATTAACATTTCATTATCTAGATTACTCTTGTAATTAATATAAATGCCCGCTTCGTACGAGATATATTGGTTTCTATATAGATTCGCATTCTTTTCTATTTATAAATTTTTCTTTCTTTTTTTTTTTTTTTTATAATATATCTTTACTTTAATTATTTTCATTAAAAATTATCTATCAAAAATAGACTGTTTAAAAAATTGCTAAATTAGGGATGTATAAATTACTAACCGATCGCTTTAAGCGCACTTGGTGAAACAATATTAATGGGTTTTATTGGTAAATAGTGGGTCATCTTTGGACATGCAAGCTCAAGTATACGAGAGGTCGGCTTTGGAATTCCACATTTTAAGGGTTTTTGAGAAGTTACAATTTCTGTTACGCGAGATCGAGGTTGTGCCAATTGATTTGTACGTTCTGTTATCTCGTAAAGCAAGGCAGATATTTTTACCTAAACAAATTTACGTATAAATATGTATATTTTTGATAGATCTATCGGTCTTAATGTTAATTAAAAGTCAATTAAAATTTAATTAAAAAAGTAGACTAAAGAAAATTAATTAATAGAATATAAGAGAAAGAATTTTTTTACTTTAGATATTCAATTAAATAAGACTATTTTTGAATTCTATTCTACATTCATTATATTTCATTTTACATTATTTTTATTTTATATTTTCTTCATAAATTCATCAAAAAAAGTATAACTCAAAATACTATATAATTCAAAAACGAAGAGAAAATGCGTTTCTTTCAGAATATAAGGTTCAATTAGAAAGAGTCACGTACTTTAGTCAAATCTGTCGGATTAACTTTGGGCTTGTGACTTTGCCGAGTAGATAATCGTGAGATCGATGACACAGAAATAACCTTCTTTTGCTTGGGCTTAGAAATACAAGTTTTAAAAATTAATGTATCATCGCGTAAATTACAGTCCTCGTTATTCGAAGGTGTGCTTTTTTCGCTCGTTTGCTTTGCTCCAAATAGTATATCTTTATGGAGTAGATTAAACTCTGTAAATTTGGCGAGCTTGTCCAAACCCCGATGAGATGTAATTAAATTCGCCATTTATTTACAAATTTTGTAATGAAAAAAATTAATATTTGTAGAGTTTACTTTTATATAATAATAAATAATTTTTTTTTCACTTTTTGATGTTCTTGTTAGATTGTCTTAATCGTAATACACGGAATTTTGAATGACAATAAGAAAAAGAATAAATAATCGATTATCACGTGCCTTGATTGTCTATTGCTCTAAAATATTTCGACGAAGCCTTGAAATATATAATATAATTGTTTTATATAATTCATAATGTTATTGCAATAATACACAAGTAATTAACGTTAATTTTCAGTGAAAATACAATATTACTTTAAATGTTATTGCAAATGAAATACCCAAATAAATCATTTTTATAATATTTTTTTAAGCTTATATTTATAATTATTTGACCATATACTATGCTAATGAAAAAAAATATTAAATTGTTTGTCAAATCACATCTTATTATATATTAAAATAATATAAATAACAAATTTTTAATTTAAATCTATACGTTGCTTTTAATAATTTTATTGCAGAATCTGCAATGGGTTATAAACTTAATGCTCAAAGGAATTCCAAGAACGAATATGTCGAGGCTGTGGATAAGTAAGTATCTTGTCCTTGCAATTATGTTTTTAGATTTCTTTCCGCATTCCATACAATATACAACGTATATATATATATAACGTGTATATAACAAAGTTATATTAGCAAAAACATGTTTTAATTTTCAGAATTGCATCTATCGTACAGATGCGGTTTACAAATGTATGGATATCTAATGATAACATTTTCAAATTGACTAAAGCAGGAAAAGAGCACGATCACTCGCTTTGCATTATTCACAACTTTGTCGACAAGGTAATGAATATCTCAAGTTAAATAAATCCGAACGATTAAAGAGCTTTATATCGAGATGATTTTGCACAATATATTACTATTTTATTCGGAATCAAAATCGGTTACTAAACTTCGAATTAGATTATTAGGTTCAATTTTCAATTCAGAGAACACGTTTCTATTTAGAAAAAAAAAACACAATTTGATCTCAAAACTTTCCCAGCATAAATGATATATATATATAAAATCTTTCATTATCAGGTAATCGCGCAGAGGAAGGCTGAATGGAAGTTAAAACGCGACGGAAACTACAATGAACCGACGAATAAGAGACAGGCTCTATTGGATTTGCTACTTGAGATGTCGCACAACGGAACTGTTCTTTCAGATGAAGATATTCGTGAAGAAGTCAATACTTTCATGTACGCCGGACACGACACAATGGCTACCAGCATAGCCTGGACCCTTTATGCATTGGGGCGAAGTCCCGAATACCAGGTATGTCCTTTCTTATATTTTACATCATCACCGCGATATTTTACTCTAACAATTTTCATTGGAATTTCATGACTTTTAAACATTTATAATTTATCTTCGAGAGTGAGAGAGAGAGGTGATTTTTTAATTTTAGTATAAACTTTAAAAAATTGATATAATTATACATTTTTAGAAAATTTAATTAATAAATAAATATATTTTTTATGTCTTTTTTCTCTTATATTTTTAATATTAACTTAATATCAATGTCTTTTTTTGCCTTCTGCTTAGGAAAAAATTCTGGAAGAATATGACAATATAATGGGGACGACGGAACTTACACTAAATAACATCCACAAATTAACATGGCTGGAAGCCTGCATTAAGGAGCAGTGGAGATTATATCCAGTAGCTCCGCTCATAGCGAGACAGATTTACAAACCAATCGATCTAAGTAAATATCTCCTATTTCTCAAGAAATCATTATTTCTTTTTTTCCGAAGAAAATATTAATTATTTAATAATATTATACACTACGTTATTTCATATTAATTAATGTTATATATCAAAGATGTATGACGTTATATATTATAGATGTATCATATATCTATGATATATAACATTAATTGATGCAAATAAGACATTTGTAAAACATTATTTCATTGCACAATTATCAAACAAGTGCGAGAATTGTGTAATGCAAATGGGAATTTTTCTTCTATTTTTACAAATAATTTTTCTCATTTCTAGTGGGCAATCAAATTCCGCCAGGCTCGACGGTTCTCATCAATTCCTTTCTACTGCATCGGGACGAACGTCACTTTCCTGATCCGCATATTTATCGTCCGGAGCGTTTCTTACCGAACAGTGCAAAGTTACCACCTTATGCTTTCATCCCTTTCAGTGCTGGGTCGCGAAATTGCATCGGTTGGAAATTTGCGACAATAGTCATCAAAGCGGTTGTTTTATCCGTGCTAAAAACTTTCCACGTAGAAGCCCTCGATAAGGAGGATCAATTGCGCTTTATATCAGAATTGGTACTCATCAATGCAAACGGGCTTCGTCTCAAACTAACACCACGCGAGCAATGAACGAGAGAAAGAGAGATATTCTTTCCAATTTTGAAAATGTATCCGATCTCTTTCAAGTAAGATATAATTGATCAACATATCAAAGTCGATTTCCTTTCAGTGGCTCTCGAAACGCATTAGATATAATAAAAGAATTTGTTCCTTTGCGAGCACAATTATATAGAAATTAATAAATAGCAATATGAAAGAGATGAAATGTTAACCGAAAGTCTGCTTTTTACTTTAAAGACGTTATTGTTAGAAAAAAAGCAAAGAATAAAAAAAAATAAATCCAAGGCTTATTAAACAAATATCTTTTAAAAAGTATATAAATATGTATAATTATATATTAAATACATTATCAAATATATATATTAATATATAGTTATAATATATATTAATATATATATTAATAAAGGTGTATATAAATATATATATATATATATATATATATATATGTATATATAATTATACATATAAATAATATATTAAATATAAACATAATATATATATAATATAATATATATTATAGAGAGCTGAGTCTGTATATTTTTATTTGTTTGAAATATAATTCAATGTATACCTACACTCTGCTCAGAAAAAAATAAATATTAATATTAACTTTATTTCTAAATGTTTTTTCTCTTTCCTTTTTTAATAATTATCAGTAAATCCATAAATAAAGATATGATTGTAGAAATTATACATTATCAATAGGCAAAAGTTACAAATGTCGATAATGCATAATGAAAATAAAAAAGGAGGAAATCATTGCACTTTTTGATATGTTGAGATAAAGATATGCAAGACTGATGAGTAGTTAAAAAGAAAGAATAAATAAGATATAAGAATAAATAGTGTAATAAATAAGATTGTTAAATGCATATATTGCTTATATATTCATATTTTCATCTTACCGAACAGTTTCAAGAAGTTAGTAAAATGAAAATACAATATATATATATATATATATATATATATATATATATATATATAATAAATATCTGATATATTGGAGTTAGTAAAATGAAAATGCAATATATATATATATATATATATATATATATATATATATATATATATTGTATTTTCAATTTACTAACTCTAATATATCCCTAGCCGCTCTATGTATTGACTAATTGTAAGCAGCAGAAACTAACTTGCAAACAACTAAGGTTTAGAAATGGTCTTTAAATGTAATTTATGTTTATATATCGATAGCATTTCGAACGTGTCATAATGCCACATTTTGTGGATCAATTTAGTTTATAAAATTAGTCCTATACTGTTCTTTATTATAAATCTTATAAAACCTTATTTTATAAAAGTGTATATTCAAAATAATTCATGTAGAAATTTAGTTTGTTTCGTGGCTAAATATGTATATGTTCTAATGTTCTTTCATTTCATGTAATATGCTACAATTATCATGCAATAAACAAATGGACAGATTATGAAAAATTAGAATAGAAATACACACACACACACATTGTAAAATTAAAAACAATTATTCATCAATATTCGTTAAATGGATTATTTGAAATATACTTTATGAAATACCTGTATAATTCCTATTTTTTATTATTTATGTTCATGATACACATGCACATCAAAGAAAATCTTTAATATATTGTTCTTTTTTGTACATTATAATTTATATATTTAATCCTGAAGAAATAAGAAAAATAAGGAGAGCATAAACCTTACCTTCCAAAATTATCTAACACACATTTAAAAGAAAAAATGGGGAAAGGGTAAATAAAATAACATAGCTAAAGATACATACTAACATATCAGCATTTTTCCCTATTATATTTTAAATATTAATTTATTTTTATTTCACATGTTCAAAAATATCTTGTTTTAATCTTCTTATTCCAATCTTCATTGAGATATAAATAAAAATAAATAATTTAAGCTTTACTTTCTAAAAATATCAATCTTATATTTTTTAATGTTTCTTTTTTTTCTTTAATTTGTTACTTATTTAAACAAAATCAACTTAGAATAATTTACAATTAATTGTAATATATACTTGAATAGTTTAATGTATTTTTAAAATAAAAAAAAAGTATAAGGTATATATAATTTGAAAAAATGAATTATAAGATATATTGGAAAAAAACTATTAAAAAATGTATTAATATAAAATTATTGATATACATATTTTCATTTCTTTATTATTCTCTTCATTGTTTTCTGAAAATCTTGTCTATGTAAAATGTAAAATGATTGATCAAAAGTTTAATATAATAATATCTCTTTATTTCTTCTTAGATTTTTGTGTATATAAAAAATGCAAAAATAATTTTTGTTTCTAGTAAAAATTATTTTATTATTGATAATAACTTTATGCCAATCACACTCAAGTTGTAGAAATATTTTTTTATGGACTGACTAAATTGATCAATAATACAAATAAAAATAATATATAATTTATAAATTATTTGTATGTATAAATTTTTTTATATGCACATTTATATATACTATGGATACACACAGACACACACATACATATATATGTATATAAATATACTTCAGGATTAAATATTTAGCTCAATTTGTCCTAATCTGTCCGTTTTCAGACACAATGGATTTTTATGTATATATATGTAAAATATAAATAATATTTTTATATTCCTAACTTACTTTTATTATTTTCAAATGCAATTTTCATCATTATTCAATATGATTTTACAATAAAAAATGATTTTTAATATCAAGAACTTTATAGAAATAATAAAGATCTTATATAGTTACATTTATTATTATTGCAAACTTAAATTAAACTTTAATATTATAATAATTGTTAGAAAAATATTTTAAATGACTAATTCATTTCTAGTATTTGTAATTATAAATGACAATTTTTACAAATCCATCATCTCGTATAATTAAAATAAAAAACAGTTTAAACTCACCAGTGCGATGCACAGCCTCGTATAAGTCGGAGCACAACGTAATATACAGCGTTGATTTCTATAAACAATACACAAATATATTATTAATCTTAAATTTTTAAAAAGCAAATGTCGAAATTATATTTATATAAATCGCGCATTCGACCAAAGTATTAATCGTCAAATATTAGACAAAGATGACGTACTTATATGAACAGTCGATGTACTCATTGTAACGAATAAATGTATTAAAGATAAATAGAATCGTGGATAAATCAATAATAATAAATGAATAATTCGACTCACAATTCGACTATATTAGTTATCCCGGGCCTCCTCCTCGTAGAAGAAGTTTCGAAACACTTGCACAATTTTTTTCTTGTTCGCGACGACCCCCGGATTTTAGCTGTCACATTTTCGACGCGTTTCGGTGAAACGCGAGAGCTTCGAATAAAATCGATGCTCCATGTTCGGGTCACCGCTTTTTTCAAGGCCCACGACTTATCGGAAGGTCTTTCGAACGATAGCGACTTCTCCGCGATGCACTCAGGAGTTCAGCGAAGGATACGATATCGATATATATATATATATATATAGTAATATGGCGACGCGATTGTAGTTGTAGTCGACCTGCGATTTTTATGCCAATGAAGAATCTAATATTCGTCGCGAAACGATACTTCGACGAGATGATGTGAAAGCCCGATCGAAAATGCTCAATCGCCTGCTTAGAATACGATCGACTACGTCGAAAAACTTGGAAAATTGTCGCGCCGAAAGACGCGCGGTAAATCTCGCGACCAGCCGTAACGATAATTCATGCGCGCGAATTTAGCTGCGGCTCGAGCGCGGCTGTGACGTCACGCGGTTTCACGAGACCGAACCTTATTGACACCTCGAGGCTCGAGCGAGATTCGCGGCTGACGAGGTCAATCTCGCGCATGAGATTGCGATCGCGATGTCGTACAATAACAAGTATACGCGACGCGATCGGATGTACATGATAATTAATGATGTAAAAACGTTAATTAATACTCACACACTGATATTTCTGCAGACCGGCGATGAGCGCGCGTACGATGAACAAATCAAAAGTACACTAGATGGCATCATTCCAGATTGTGTTCGAAAATGTATTTTATTCACCTAGGGCGAAGCATTTGATTGACCAATCAGAGCAAAGAGATCCTCGGTCTCTGATTGGTCGGTCAAATTCTGCATTTTGATGAACATATTTTTGAACACAATCTTTTCTCAAAATTTCTAAAGAATTTAATCAACATTATTCAATTTTTTTATAATAATCCTTGGATAGAAGTATTAACCGTATCAAAATAACAAATATAACAAAAAATGTATTTTCTTATTAAATAAAAGTATTTAATATATATAAAAATACAATATTAAATTATACTGAAATATATTTTATCATATTTTTAAAGCTTTTTTATATTAAAATATATATAATTTATTCCTAAAAATTATTACTAATAAGCTAACACACGCACTCTAGAAGTCCTTCACACAAACTTTAAAAACTAAATAAGTTATATATAATTATACAAATAAAAAAAAGTTAATATTATTAATGACAAAATAAAAAAAAATATTAACTCTACCACTATCAATTTTAATATATAATTATATATTCCATAACATTAAATAATAAATAAAAAATATAAAATTTCTTATTTCACATCAAATTAATTCATATAAAATATTAAATGATTAAGTATTTACATTAAACAAATAATTTTAATTATAATTGTTAATTATTTTCTATTTTTAATCAAGAATCGGAAGAGGCATATATAAAGAGAGAAAAAAATTAAGCACGCGATGATATATTATTTCAATATATTGAATTTTATTATAAAATCTTTTTGTTTAGGCTACAACATGTAATATAATAATTGCGTTTAGTCTAGACCCTTATCAAAAGAAAAGCTAAACTGCACCACGTTTACTATTGTCTTAATGAGCCACTCCGCAAATTTATACGCCTCGAGGAAGGACTCATAGGGACAACGAGAAGAAAAACACACGTAAATGCTACAAAAATTCTCATGCGTACAAATTGAAAAAAATCCATGCCCATATATTGCGTCCAAAAATTATTCGATTTTCCCGTAGTTTTACCATTGTATCGCAAATGTTGTGTGTATTGTGTATATACATATACATATACATATACATATATATATATATATATATATATATATATAATATTTATATATTCAAAATATATTAAGAAATACTTCACTAAATGCAATGCCACGCGCAAAAATCGTGTTTAAGAGATATCTCTGAACTGGAACGACGAATATTCCAATATTTATAGATATTCCATAAATCAATGATAGTAAATATTTATCGATACTTAACTGGGTTACTGAACAATATCGCTCCTAGACCCAGCAAACACAGTATATAAATGTTATATACTCAAGCATGTTACATGTAACGTATATGTTAGTTGTAATTTCCCACTCATAGATGTAACATTTTTAATATTACATATATTACATTGTTATTATATTGTCATTATATCCCAAGATAGCACTGACTTATCAATACATCAATGTGCTATTTGGTATATAATTACAATATAACTACAATGTAATATATGTTATATTAAAATGTTACATCTCTATGAGTGGGAAATTACAATTAACATGGATGTTACATGTAACGTACACGTTATATTATCTGTTATATTCCATTTTATTATAGCAATGTAACAATCATTATATATCGGTGTTTGCTGAGGATACAAAGAATAATTCCAAACATGATCTGTAACACTTTCATTTTACAAAATTCGCGCAAATTTATCAATAAAGATATTAAACTCTTTCCAAATCTTCAGATTAATTTTCTCAGAAAAGCGGGCCAATGGATTTTACATTGAACGCTTTAAATATTTCTAAATGACTTTGATTTATAAAAGTTATGACATTGGTCGTTCTAGCACCGACGTATCAAGATACATGAATATACAAATTCGTCGTCGAGAGAAGGATTTCGCTGATCGTATCGCTGTGCGATATTTTCGAATATACAGGTGCGAATAAAACATGCCTATCTCTATATAAATCAACGTCAATATGTAAATGAGATCGCGGAACAATTATTCCGCCGATTGCACGCTAAAGAAAAAGGAAAGCAATATAATCGCTATCATGATACATCTACATTCCTCGATGCGTAATCTAAGAATCGGCGGCCCTTAAGACATGCTGTATCTAAAGAAGAAGACGAAGTGATTGTGTACATCAATCGCGCACAATCGACATACATCGTAATAGGTGTAAAAATAATAAAATTAGTGATAGTAAACCCCTCTATTACACGTTATACGGCATGTAAATTTGTGTATTTGTGGATGTGATCTTTCATACGTGTATAATAACCGTTTGATTCGGTCGTGAAACGTTCAACATAATAAAGGAAACTCTCCCAAGCAAGCTAATTCTAAGATAATGTAATATCTTTTTCTTGTTTATTCATATAGCTTCTATTTATATTAGGTATGCACGTACGTGTGATAACTAAACAGATACATGATTTTCTTTTCTTCTTTCATCGCGTCACACACGTCGCGGCCACTAACGGCCTCGTCTTAACTTCAAAGAGCAGGAGGCTGTCGCACAATCATCACTGTACAATTAAAACAAAAGTGAAAAACTTCGCGAGATACTTTCAATAATATCTATTCGAATGACGACTCTGATCTCCGTTCACTCTGATTTCCTTCCTGGACTTCGAGTCGAATCGTCGGTATTCACACAGGATTTACTTGCATATTAGAATAAAAAAAATATATCTAATGAGCTTCGATTAATTATACATCTTCGTTTAAATAATCAGAAAAACTTTTTTTAAATCTATGTGATAATTTAAAATTAATTCTAACACTGATCAAATAAATTTGAAAAAAATATTTGAAGTCGTCTTCAAGATACCTCAGATTATATTGATTTTGATTATTCTGTTCTCGAAAGAACTCATAAATTTCACATTCAACGAAATACATATAATTGTAAAAAGTTTAAAATAAACATATTAAAGAAGAATATAGTTATACCAACAATTTTAAAAGTACAGAAAGAACTCCAGATAGAAAGTTCGAGCGAGACAGTGTCGTCCTTCAAAATTGCGCAAATACCTCAGACGGATTTTAAGTCAGAATTTATTATTATATCAAGTTATAATCGCATAATACACTACTATATAATCTGCGTATATGTCGTTCATACATTTCTTTAATATAATATTTACTATATATAATATAAATCTGTTTCTTTGTTTGAAAGTCAGCGCAATACATTCTCTACGCAAATTTTCAATTAATAAAAAATTTGCACATGCCTAAATAAATCGAAAAATTATACATAGAAATAAAATTATATGAGAGAAATATATATATTAGAAATATAAATAATTTCAAATATATATATAATTGCACTGCTTCCATATACATACAATGGAACGCCAATTACGCTAATGCGAGTTTTGTTAAAGTCGCCTTTTTCCTTGCTTTTCGCAAAGTGTATACTTAAAGCAGCCTCCTGCTCTCTAATATAACTATATTTAATGGTTTCTCATAGAATTATATGAAGTAAAATTTGTAAAATACAATATACTGCCTATATCATAAATTCTTAATCTTTTTCTTTATAAATAATTATAGTAATAGTCTTTCACAATCTTTTGTTAATTTATTATATCAGATGCCATTCTCTTGAATTAAATTTAAATATTACATTTGTGCCCTTTTCGCACTAATTCATTTTTATAGTATATTCTGCATGACTGCGTTTCTTTCTCTCTCTCTCTGTGTATGTTTATTAATATAATACATATATAATCTAAATGACTTATATATTATTTACATATGTACATGTTCAACAACGGTACGTCGTTCCAATCAATCAATTTTTCAATTTTCCTTTTTCATCATTATTAAAGATCAATTTTTTATTTTCTCCTATACGGAATACACTAGTTCGCAAAGCGAACACTCTCTATTCTCTGTAAAGTTTTTCGGGAATAAATTCGCTCGCAAATTTCTTCATTTCTTCTTGATTATAGCAATGAATAATGATGAAAAACGGCTTCTGGTCAGATCTTTCCTTTCGTCATTTCCTGGATAAAACAACCGTTGTGTCTGCATTATGTTAGAGCTTTCGCACAGTCGCACATCGTCGTATATAAATCCAATTGAACTGAAAGCTAATTACAGAAAAACTTACAACTCTTAGAAAATAGGCTCCGCCTTGTCGTTCTGACTTATCTCTCCGCTCACTCTACACTTGGCCAACCTCGGATTTGCCTCCAGTGACATATTTTTTTCCGTAAGTGCAAGAACTACACAGGACAACTGTTTGCTTTAGAGGTGAAAGAGGAAGACTCTAGCTCTATGTTTCACGCGACACGCGCACTATAATATTCTCGAAAAAAGTCGAATCTCCCAGAGTATCATACTCGCGTTTATGTTATCGTTTTTTCCTCTGCGGCAAAAGTTGCGATTTTACCTGGGCACGCTTCCTCTACCTAATGATTCAGGGTTGGCCAAGCTCTCATTCATGCTACGAATCGAGATCGTCCTCCCTCTGGCTGCTGAAATAAGATACCAGCCCACCAAATTCGCCGGTGCCCTCTTCATCGTACTGCTTGTTACCGGCATTGGGATCACCTGGATGCGCCTGCTGCGATGCCGGCGGTGCCTGAGGTGGAGGTGGCCCCTGGATCGGAGGCTGGTTATCTGGCGAGGAGAAGTGCTCCGAGGGATACGGCGAGCCTTGGTAGGCGGCTGCATCGTCCGCCGTGGACATCGGCGGAGGTGGTGGATAGGCACCATAATGGTAATTGGGAGGCGGAGGCGGATGATACGGTGAGAAGTTACCAGGTGGTCGATTGGGGGGCGGCGAGGGTTGCTGCATGCTGTGATTGACCGGCGAGGCGTTGGTGAACGGTGGCATCTGATGCCTGGGCCCCATGGGATTCTCCGCAAACCTGGCCATCGGCGGACCGCCCCGTACGTAGGGTGGAGGTGGTGGCGTCGGACCACCCTTGGCCAATGGACTACCAGCCGATGCTGGAATCATCGCCGGTCCCCCGGCTAGAGGCGAACTGCGATCTCGATTATTGATCGAGATCGGTCCGCCACCCGATGGTGATGGATCCATTGGATGGTGAGACGTGTGATACATCTGCGGTCCGGGTACTCGCATACGCATCGGCGGTGTGCCCGATCTAACTGCGGCGAAATGCGGTGGCATTGATGACTGACCTGCCTGCCTATATGGAGACGGAATCCTGGCGCGAGGCTGCATCTCGTATCCCGTTCGCGGACCGCCCATCATTTGTCCACCGACATTAGGCCCCCCAAAATACTTGTGACCCATCGCGGCCGCTGCTGCGGTGAAGGACTGCGGACTGCTGGATACTGGTTGAGATTGGAGCATCCTTGTAATGACGGAAGACTGTTGGCCGGATGGTAGCGATGGATAAACTGATTGCGAGTTCGATGACTGTGTCGATGGTGGACCTGGTGTCGGGACGGCACTCGCCGGCGGTGTGGAGGGCGCCGAGCCGGATGTACTGCTACCTGGTGTAGGAAGAATATTCGGGATATCGTTCTGTTTCATCTCTGGATTCGAGTCGGTGCCCATACCAGCGATCAAGCCGGCTTCGGCGGCGGCCTTGGCCGCCGCCTCAGCTGCTCTAGCTGCCTCCAATGCGAGTGTCTTCTTACCCTTGCCACGACCCCGTCGTTTTGGTTTCACCGGCGTGCCATCTGGATTAAAGAGTTGTCCATCCGGTCCAGTCATAAGAGGCATGTGTCCACCTTCGATGCTTCTGTCAGGTTCCGGTGTCAAACCCGTAGACAAAGTAGGATTCACGTTGTGCGATTGCATATTACTCGCGCCATCCGGCGTACCAATACCGCCGATACCTGATGACGGCACGATGCCCAGATTCGGCGCACCATCCCTGCGCATTTGTTCAGCAATTATCTCGGCTTTGCTGCGACGTCCGCGTTTCTTCTTCTTAGGCGCCTCGCCGTCCGTTCCCTCAGGTGCGTTAGGATCCCTTTGTCTTTCTGCCGCCAATATTTCCAAAGCCTTCAAACGCGCCTTCTCCAACTTCTTAGCCTCTCGTTCTTCTTTTTTCTTCTTTTTTGCTATCTCGATTGCCGCGAGCTCCAATTGCCGTCGTCCATACTCTTCATCCAGCATCATCTGCTCGAGCTGCTCGTCGTCCAAGTCAGCTAGCTCGCCGGCACCAAGACCCGTCAACGAACCCTCGGGAACATCTCCAGTAAACGAGCTCGCCACCGACATCGTTGTACCCGTCAGTCCGACATTGTCCGGAAGATTCTCGTCCATTTTGGACGCTATATCGCCGATAGGATTGTCCATGACCGAGCCAATCATATCTCCATCTGCATCGTCATTTAACTTTTGTTTACGGGCCTTGTTCTTGCTTCCTGGTTTGGGTCCGGGTTTTTTTCTCTGCTTCGGCATGTCATCCGGCAACGATTTTCGTTTCATTCCAGGACTCTTGCCGTTACGTGGTTTCCTTCCAGCCTTCAATTTATTTTTAAATTTTAAAGCATCCTTCTTGGGAATATAAACATCTCCTGAGAAAGTTAATTAATATCAATTGTAATTTATATTTATAAATAATGTCATTAATAAATGCATGACAAATGCGTACAATTCTTTTCAAATAAAGAAAATATATAAAACAAAAAATATTTGTAGCGCTTTCCGCTACAACGTGCACTATAAATATCTCTTGTGACATATAAATAAAATATAGGGATGTTTACCTGAGTCGGAATCCTTTTCTCCATCATCATTTATGTCGTCAGCCTCGTTCACCACAAATTCATCTTCGCTTTCACCAGTTCTTCTCATCAACGCTTTCTTCAGTTCCTGAATAAAATAATCAGAATTTTAATATACGTGATAACTTTGTTAAAATGAAATGACTCACCTCCTCACTATCTGATGCCATTTCCTCTCGATAATTGATCTTTCGTCCTCTAGTTCTTCTGCTTAATATTTCCTCCTCGTCTCGTTTATTTTCATCTGGAAGTCCGCCATAAATAACCTGTAAAAAAAATTGACAATATTGACATTATTATTATTTGGGAAAACAATTGATACAATTATTATTATTGTAAATCAAAATATATGCAATAAATATGTATATATACCTTTCGTCTAATAGTTGGGACTTTTTTCGGTTTGGGCAGAGTGTCCTGAAAAACAATATATATATATATATATATATAAATATATACATAAACACATATATTCAGTAACAAGTTGCACAACAATGATAGAATAAAGAGAAAAACAAAAAAAAATATTTTGTAAAGATATTTAAAATCTTACTATACATAAGACAAAATATAAAAAATTCAAATATACATATATGTATACAATTAATAAATTAGTAACTTTTGTACAAATTCAAAGAAATAGCAGAAAAATGTATATTTCAATCTTAAAAAGTATCAAAAATTATTTTTTAAGATATAGGATTTAACACAGATTAAAGAAATAATCAGCGAGATAGAAAATCTATTACCGAGAATGTATTTATAGTATGCAAAGAGTTATATTACGATTCATATTGTGTAAAAAATAACAGTCTCACATTGTTTATAATCAAAGGAGAATACATTAAGCTCTTCTTCATGTGCCAAAAGGCACTTACATCAGTGATTAATTAAAGTCTAGATAGAAAATGGGCTAGTAAGAGTTAGGGGCAGAAAAGAAATGCAAAAGGCAAACGTTCAATTAAAGATTTTAAGATTTGCTACGCTTATTTTTTGCGCTTGACATTTATTTCCTAATTCTGAATTTTTGTATATATTATGCGATATATCAGAGATACTTTTCCGTTTTGTTAATTAAAAAGTGCTTACCTTTTTGATTTTTTGAACTGGTATTACCTCTGTTGGCTGTGATATCTGTGGAATCGGAACATCCGGGACTACTTCTTGTAATTTATTATCATCATCTTTCAACTCAACATTATTTTCGTCTGTGTTATTTTCAAAATTCTCTTGTTTGTTAACCTCTATCATCTCATTCAGCCCAGTATCTACGTCTTGCAAGTGAGGTTCACATTGTTCTTCAATTTTAGGCTCCTCTTCTTCGTCGTTCTCGCTTTGATTGTCAGATTCAATTATACGTTTTCTCTTTTTTTTCTTTTTGCCCTTTGTTTTGGGCATCGTCCTGATTCTGGATGTCGGTATCGTTCTGCTCCTGTAATAATTTAAAAATATTTTTAATATTTTCTTACTCATAATCTTTGATATATTATATTATCTTCAATTTTATACATTTCGTACTTTTTCTTTCTTTGTCTCCACGAATTATCACTATCCTCACTATCCGAATCTCCCCAAACCGATCGCGATTTCTTTTTTTTTGGCCGATCACTATCATCGCTGTCATCATTGACTGAAAAAATATTTATTCAAATGAACTTATAATTTATTTAAATAAACTTATTTATACTTAGAATATATTTTAGAATATTTTATTATAATAAATAATTATAAATATAAATTGCAAAACTTAAAATTGATCAGTTTCATCAGTTGAATAGGTTTTATAATTATGAATTAAATACATAAATTAAATGATAATTTCCATAAAGAATTTTTAAAAAATTACAAATAAAAATTATATAATTATTTTTAGTGAAATTTATAATTGATATACTTAAAAATGATCGCATGGAAAACATGCATAAAGAATTGATATTAAAAAATATAACTGTCACAACTCACTAAAATCTTCATCATAAGCCCTAGTCATGCGTGCTCTTGTAGATCTTCTAACAGGTCGCAAGTCACCCTTTCTACGTCGCTTTACATCAGCAAAACTGTCATCAGATGATGTCATATGATCATCAAAGTCTTCCTCGTCCTCAGAACTCGTACCCTTGAAATCTTCATCACTATCTGGATCATCTTCGCTGCTTACATCGAGGCTATTTAATTTTCGATGTTTCTTACGTGCTAGCAATTTCCTAGAAATTATATTTTGCTTGTCTTCCATTTCATCAATTATATCTTCATTCTCAATTTTATATTCCTCATCACTTTCTTTTTCTGGTTTTGATTCTACATCGTCTATATCTTTGTCCTCTTCTAATTGCGTCATCTTTAATGCTTCGGCCTGCAAAGGATTATTACATATATTATATATAAATTCTCAAAATTACTAATAGCAGTCAATAGTATTTGAATAGGAGTTGTAGAAATTAATCGATCAAACTAGCGAGTAAATCATTTATTCAGTTTCACGACATTTCGACCATGTGATTGTGTAGTCCTTATCAAGTAAAACACTAAAATATTTTATTACATAAATAATTATTAACGTACATAAAAAATTCACAAATAAACATCAATAAACTGGAAACATACTTACAAATGAATTAAATTAAAGTTAACACATTATTATCAAAATTTTGTCAATAACATTTCTTGAAATTATATAAGTCAATCAATAGAACAAAGTGAAATATTAAACATCATAACCCGTCGAAGAATCGTCAGATTCTAATATGTTTTTAAAAAAGAATATTTACACGATCTTAATTATTTTGTTAAATTCTTAACTTAATTATTTTGTTATAAACCTCGTTAAGATTCTCCGTATCCTTCTGTGAGTTTATGTTGTTGTTAAGTTTTTTAATATAAAACATTTCGGCTAACTCTCTCTTCCTTAAGTGTTTTTCCGTATGTAAAATGTTGAATTTATTCCAATCGAAATAAAAAAGGAGCATTGTAATAATATTAAATTGCATCATAGTTCACATTCGATTATAAGCAAACACCGATCTGAATTTGAACATGATTTCGATTGCAATAAATTTAACATTTTACATACGGAAAAACACTTAAGAGAGAGTTAACCGAAATGTTCTATATTAAAAAACTTAACAACAACATAAACTCACAGAAGGATATGAAGAATCTCAACGAGGTTTATAACAAAATAATTAAGATCGTATAAATATTCTTTTTTAAAAACATATTGGAATGTGACGATTCTTCGACGGATTATGTTTAATGTTTCGCTTTGTTCTATTGATTGACTCATATAATTTCAAAAAATGTTATTGACAATATTTGGATAATAATGTGTTAACTTTAATTTAATTCATTTGTAAGTATGTTTCCAGTTTATTGATATGTTTATTTGTGAATTTTTTATGTACGTCAATAATTATTTATGTAATAAAATATTTTAGTGTTTCACTTGATAAGGACCACAATCACATGGTCGAAATGTCGTGAAGCTGAATAAATTATTTACTCGCTAGTTTGGTCGATTAATTTCTACAACTCCTATATTATATATGTAATACTATCACATTTGCATGTTTGTTATCAGTTTTAATCATTTTACCTGAGCTTCTTCCTTTTCCGCGTTGACTATCGTCGCGATGTCCTTACCCCTTCCCTGATTGCCAGCACCTTGAACCGCTTCAACTTCATCCTGAATCGCGGCATTAATCATATCATCATACTCGTTAAACTTGTAGGTGTTGGCGCATCGACGTTCACGTAATTGATAAACTGGTTCGCTCTCCTCACTGCTCGATGTTTCGGAACTAGAACCTGATGAGGAAGAATCTGAAGATTCTGTAAAAACAGATTAAATCGACGTTTATTATATAAAAATGACATTAATTGACTAATAACATTAATTGATTAACTACACTTAAAATAATTTAAATCAACTTTAAATCACTGCATAAAAATGTACCGTTATCTGATTCCTGACTGGATGCTCTCGATCCTTTCGACTCGTCTTGTCCCTCACCTTTATGGAGCACATTATCCAGACTTATACCGACAAAAGCCAATCGTTTCTTCCGTAATACTTCATTCTCGTGTCTTTTTGTTAATTGATCGAGTGTTTTTAATGTCTCTTGTAGCTTAGTCACCAGCAAGGTCTTCAATCATAATTTTATAAAAAATAAGTATTATATAAAAATAGAAAAATATTGATATTGTATATTTATATATTTTAGTTGTAAACACACAATTCTCATATAAAACAAACTTACATGCTGGCACGGTGGACAAAACCAATCGCCTTCAGGTATAAGCATGAGAGCTGGTCTAAGGCATGAACAATGCCAGCCCTTATCACAAGAATCACATAGAAGAATCCATTCAGGATGATCAGCTTTGCCACATTTCTGACAAGCGTATTCATCCTCAGCTTCTTCAACGTCAATTTGGGCTAATAACAAATAGACGCACACACAATAAACTTATGATTGAATATAAATATATTATTATTACTTTCTTTTTTTAACGAAGAATTTACCTTTTTGTGCTGTTCTAGCACGTCGTAATGGTTCAGATTCTTGGTCCTTTTCGAGATCACTTTCCGGAGAAAATTCGTGATCACTTTTAAACAGTAAGGATCCCTCGCTTTCGATATCTTCATCTTCCTCTTCTTCGTCTTCGTTCTCATTTTCTTCGTCGCTACTAGATCCGGATGAGCTCTGCCATGGATTTGCTTCGTTAAATTTAGCCAACTTTTTCTTTTTCCTCTTTCGACGTTTCTTTTTAGACTTTTTCTCTTTTTCAATTTCCTTTATGATAATTTCCTCCTCCTCCTCGCTTTCCGGCTACACAAAACAAACAATTATTTGTGCAATCTATAGTTATTTAATTTTTATTTGTTTAATTAATAACTTACTTTCTGCTTCTTTCTCTTCTTCTTCTCCGATTCTTTTTTCTCTTCTATCTCGCGCATACTTTCCTCTTCGATTCTGCGTCTATCTGCTTGTTCCTTAATTTTTAACTGTGCTATTCTTCTCGATTGCCTAACAGGCGCCTCATCAAGTTTCAATCCTGGCGTTTCCGATTCTAGGGAAATATCCCTGCCTATTTCCAAGCCGAGGACCATTTTTCCTGTAAAAACACAATTTTTAAATTTTAGCAGACCTTTACGCTAATATTTCATCATATTTAATAAACTATTCTTACAAACATATATACTTACGTTTCTTTCGCTTCTTCTGCGTGTTCAAAGCATCATTAGAAGTCCCATCGGGATGAGCACCAGGTGATATTTCCGACGTTTGATCGCCCTGAAACTCCGCAAGTTTCGGCCGACTGGGACGTCCTCCTCGAAAACCACGCCTTCGTCTACCTCTAGGACGACCTCTGATCTTTTTATCAATCGCCATCGATTGTATAATATTCGGATCATCATTGCCATCTTTAGTGCGCTCCGTTACGATATCGGGATCACATTTTACAGCCTCATCCTCGGAGCTCATCGCTATCCCGCGACTTTCTTCGATGGACTTTCGTAACTCTTTATCGGGCATACGTTTTGCTCGTAACTTCATCCTCTTACCGCCCATCATCTCTTCATCTTTCTGTTTTGTGGCCCCATCCTCAGAATTTGACTCATGAGCGCTGTTTCGCCGTTTTCGCGAAATCTTCGGCGCCGCCTCCGTAGTGCTGTCTAATTTCCATCCCTCGTAAGCTATTTCTGATGCCGGCTTCATGCGGATTCTTATCTTAGAAGCGTCATCTTCGGTGATATTCTTCAAAGCGTCATCCTCGGCAATATTTGTCAAGGCATCGTCCTCGGCAATATTCTTCAGAGCATCATCCTCAGCAATATTCTTCAAAGCATCATCCTCGGCAATATTCTTTAAAGAGTCATTCTCGGCAATATTCTTCAAAACGTCATCCTCGGCACACGCTAGTGGATCAACTTCATCCGATGGTACGTTAAAAACGTCTTCGTTATCCATGCCAGTCGAATCATTATCGGAATCTGCAGAAGTACTTTTCATCTCGACTTCTTGAATTTCCAAAGATGATTCTTCTTTTCTTTCTGCAACTTCTAATCCGATTTTGGCATCTTCTACTGCTGTAGCAGCTGTAGGCTCGTTAATCGTGCCAAAATCGTTTTGAAACAATTGCGTCGTGGAGATGGTCGATGTTTTTGCTTCGTCTTTGACTTGTGGACTTAATTTTTCAACCTCGTTCAATGTATCTAGATTCTTAAGCGCTTGTACCTCGGTACCTGGTAAATTTTCAAACATCTTATCGTCGATTTCCAAGTACGGTGGCTTAGATTTTAGCGGAGGAACATCTTCCGTGTCTGAAGTATCGATCAATCTCTTGCTGGTTTCTTTCTTGATCTCAGATTTTACAGTACTAACGTCCGAAATAGTCTCTTGAGCAAGAAATGTCATCGATTCTTCATTCGTACTTAAAGGCGCACTGAAATTTTCTGTACTTTTATTTACACTCATGTCATTTACACTAAAAGGCTCGTTTTGATTGTTACTATCCAAGTTATTTTCCATTTTCGTAGATATGGAATTTGGATAATATAAGGCGTCTGAAGATACGCTCTCTTCTAATTTCACATTCTCAAGATGCGATTTATCCGCAGCTAAAGTATTATCCAATTTCGCTGGCACAATATCCAATTCTGTTTGAATCGGTGGTAAACTTACTTCTTCCACAAATGGTTTACTTAAACACTCTTCTTGCAATTTCACATCCCATTTATTGTCTTTAACATAGTCCGTTAAATCTTCTTTAAATCTTTTACACGGAATAGGCAGTTCTTCAGTAATGTGTTCATTAATATTCTTCAACTTTACGCTATTATCTGTATCCAGATTAACGTTCAATTTTTCCTCTATGTCCTTCACATGTTGCTCTTTTATATCAAATATATTCGTCACTTGATTATCCACAAGATTAATTTCCACACTTTCTTCTTCGACAAATGAAGATTTTGCAAATTTATTCGCGTCGTTTTCCTCAGAGTTGCAAACATTCTCGGATGTTGAACAATCCGTCTTTTTTGTTATTTCATCAACAACATCTTGAATATCTTGCTCTGTTTTCGTATGGTCAATCAAATTATTCAGATGTTCTTTATTTTTCTCAGTATGGCTAATAGTCATCTCAACACTCTTATTTACAAGAGGTTCAGTTATCTCTTCAGTCACGACTGGAGCTACTAACAACTTTGTCGTGTCTGACACTTCCAATGTCTTGGAATTGTCAGTAACTGAAATATCACTAATATCTGTTTTTTCTTGAAATTCATCCTTATCCAAAGGCGTTGTCGACTCATCATTCAAACAATATTCAATATTACTATTATCAATGTTGGAAGTTGAAATAATTTTTTCCTCATCAACGGATTTCTTACTAACATCTTCATTTAATACTTCATTAATTTTAGTTTCTTCATTAATTTTGACTTCTTCATTAATTTTGGTTTCATCATTAATTTTGGTTTCATCATTAATTTTGGTTTCTTTATTAATTTCTGGAAATTCCTCCGCTGCTGTGTCTTGCTGCTCGGATGATTTCTCTTGAGGTGCATCCAAGACTACATTTATGCTGTTGATGTCATCTTTGTTGATTGGTGATTTTTCGCGCAGCTCTTTATTACTTTTTTGCTTCAATATGGCAACGTCATCCTTAGAATCATTTTGCGCTACATCAGGTTCGAAAACATTATCGCTACCATCGTCATTCGAATCGCTATCGTAATTTGCAACTAACGACTTTTTATTCTCATTCATTATCTTCGGTTGTAATTCTTGAGAAATTACATTTGTTGTATGTGCATCTAATAATTCAGTAGCAATTGTCGAATTTATCTCTTCAGATTTTTCTGCGCTTCCGACAACTTCTTCACTTTTATCGACGACTTCTTTACTTTTACCGACAATTTCTTCACTTTTACTGACGCCGCAAAAATCTTCCGCTACTATTATATCTGGTTTATCAGTACTACAGGTTTTGCTCTTATCATCTTCGGTAAATTCTTCATCGTTTTTGCTTTCTACATTAACTTCCGATTTTTCTTTCTCCGGGATTTCAGTTTCTGTCGCAATTTGACAAGATTCTGATTCAACGTTTGCGACAACTGGAGCTTCTTTTTCAGATTCTATCGTTACTTCTGACATCGCACCCTTCGCTTGTCCATCGTTGGCTGTAACTTCCTCAGTTTCTTTAAACGATTCGTTAAATTCAGATACACGATCATCTATAACCATTTCCTCGTTCGAATCTTGATCGACGCAGGAACTGGGATTTTCAGAAACATCGTCGACGTATTCGCTTGTAGTCTGATCTATGTTAGACAAATTCGTTTCTTCCGTAGTTTCGACATTATCCGATTTGGGCAATTCGAAAATATTTGTTTCAGACGTTGTTTCTGGTAAATTGAACGTAGAAGGTTCGTCGGCGACAGACGATGTATTTTCAACCTTTTCACTGTCTATTTGCACAGCTTCACTCTGTTGAGATGAAGAATCTTGCACAGAAACGTCGTCCGAACTGCTTATAGTAGGAACTAAATCATGTTTATCATTCTCTTCGAGAGCAGACTCCGAAGCGATCACCGCAGAATCCATATGAAACATAGTATCGTTAACTTGCATATCGTTCAGTCCTTTCTCTTTAATCTCTTCGGAATCACCCGAACCATCATCATGCATCCCTACGTCCGACAATGCGTCGGTTCTTTCGCTGTTCTTGTCGTAATTAACGCACAACGAGTCGGCATCAGAGCCGACCAGGCCTTTCATCTTCTCGTTATCCGTGTCGGTCGAATGATCTTCCTGACCGTCGATTTCAGAAAAGTTGTCGTTCTTGTCACTCTGCTTGTCGCAACTCTCTCCAGCGAAATCGAGATCGTTCTTTTGAAGACTGTTTGTTTCCTGATAATCTTCGGATAATCTCGCTGCATTTGTAGAATCCAATAACTCGTTTGAATTGTTATCCTCGAATTCCTTAAGATCGATCAATTCTGCTTGGGAATCTTGAGTGAGAAGCGATAAAGATGAATGCGGTGTTGTCACAGACTCGATTTTCTCTTCATCCTCCTTGGAACTGTTTGAATTAGTAGACTGATGATTGTTCTCGTTTTTACACTCATCAGCTGGTGGTTTTTCATTTTTATCCTCTTTATCATTCGACAACTGCGATGTCACATCATCTGATATTTCAAAAGAAATATCTTCCTGAACTTTTTCCATGCTTTCAGGCTTTTCAGCATCTGTAGACTGATCACATTGTGATGGCTCAACAATTCCACATTCTTCTGGTTGAACTACATTGGATTCACTAACCAAACTGATTTTAGTCGAGTCTTCTTCAGTCATATTTACATCATTAATACTTTCATCTTCGATTTTTGTCTCTGCTGTAGGACTCACGTGCGTTTTTGAAAAATTATCTTCTTTTATTTCTTTGTCGGTATAAACAGGTTCTTGCGGTTCACTCGATTCTTTGCTCGCTTCTACTGAAACTTGCGGGACAGATGAATTAGTAGCATCACACTCAGATACATCGCTTGGATCTATTGAACTATTAAATGTTGAAGTTGTTTGTTGATCCCACGTGTTGCTCGATGCTTCAATTTTTTCCATATCTTCGCTGTTGTTTCCACATGGAACGCTATCAGAGTCCGAAGTAAACAGATCCGTTTTTAGCGAATTATTATTCGTTCGCGTCAATTCAAAATCTTCCGTATCTTTGTATGAATAAACGGCATCGTCTACTGGCTTAGACGAAGATACACATTCATATTGCACAGTATCCGTTTTACTGTGCGAAGACGCAGTCATGCTTTGCTCCGATTCTAACTTTTCGGAATTCGAGGTATATGAGATACAATTGGGACCAAAAAAAAATCTCGGCGGAGAATTGGCGGTTGTTGGTTTGCATTCATTATCCGCTATTTCAGGTGTGTCGAACTCGCGTGAAACTACGCTATTTGAATCGTTTTGCACATTGGCTGAATCTACCATAGATAGTTCAGAATTTGTACATTGTTCCGGTGTCTGTGAGATGTCCATTTGACACGACGATACAGAAGAATCACACTGCACGGATTCTTGAAGTTTAGCATCACTTTCCTGTTCCATTATACTCGTATTCTCTGAACTTACATCGGACACCTGTAATTTAACACTGTCTTTGATGGTGGTTTCACTTTCTGCATTTACAGAGTTGTTGTCGTCTGTTTTGACATCTTGATTTACATCAGCATAATCTTCGAGTTTGGTTGGCGATTTTGTATCTGTATTCAATAGTTTCTGCTCTGCATTATCACGTTTATAATCATTTGTATTTTCCTTCAGTGATATGTCTCCTTCTACGTGTGATATGATACTACTGTCACATTCTGCTTTCTCCTCCGGTTTACCTACGTCCCACCTAGATAACCTTTTGACAGGACCAGTTGTACTTTTAGGTATTATTTGGACGCCCAACGTCTGCTTTAACTTTGGCTTCTCTTGCATAGAATCTATTATTTCACAATTATCGTTTACGCTTAAATTAGATTGCGGATAGTTTCTATTTAATTTTACAGGGGTTTTGTTCGACACTATCGAGCCCGTAGACACTTCGTTCTCGGTTAAAACCTTATTCTGCGATAATGTCGCGGTAGCTGAGTCAGGTTCAGTTTTTGATTCGTTGCTTTCTTTATTGTCAGTGGACTTGTCGTCACCGGGATTACCTGTCTCGCATTCCGCACCGGAACCTTCGCCATAAAAAAAAATTGTCGGTTCCTCCACAGCCTCTCCGACAATAGGATTCACCGCGTCGCAATCGCTACCAGATCCTTCGCCTTGAACCATCATCATAGGTTCCTCGATAGTTTCGCTCACCTCATCCCTCCAATTGCTGCTCATCATCGGTCTCTTATCTATAGAACCTCTGATTGGAATTACGTCCGCTCTTATCCTCTTCAGCATGTCTTGCTGGACATCGTCACCTTCCAAGGGACGTTTCATCGATACGCTGTTCATCCTCAACGAAGTAATCTTGCTAGGATCGGGAAGTATCGTGTAGCTCGGCAATCTGTGCTCATCCTTGGCAGGTCTAGCTGTATTGTGATACGGCGCCGATGACATCTCGTACGCGGTGAACGGCATTTGCCGCTTGCTCAGATCGGCCACCATGGCATGATTGCGTATCATCACGCTACGTGCATCGTACGGCAGATTTGGCACTTCCTTGGTTAGCTTCTTTGTGCTCAGATCCATCTCTCGATGTTGAAAGTCCTGCGTCCTGTAACCCGGAGAAGGTAGATCCACCGTCTTCCCCAATTTTCGACTAGAAAGATCGATTCCGGAAAAATCCATCGGCCTATTCTGCTCGCTCGCGCTCTCCCAGCCACGCGGTGATGTCGACAAGTCTATGCCTCTGTGACCTCTGAGAGATTTTTCAGATTGATTCCTTGAGCAAAAATCTTGCGGCAACCTGTCGTCCTCTCCATTCGCGGTATTTCCCAACATACCACCGGATCTTGCTAGAGATTCCGCTATCTTTTCCAGCGACTTTGGTCCGCTTGGTTTCTCCAGTCTTTCTGACTGTATCCTCACGAGATTCGCAGCCAGTTGATCTATCGGCTTGACAGATAATTTGCTGTGTGCCATGGAAACAGAATCCGTGGAGGAAAAAGGTACGTTACTTTTGCCAGATAATTTCTCGAGTGATTTCATGACAGGATCTGTTATTTCGTCGGAGATACCGTACTTTTTCGTCGCGTTTAACGGTGTAGTAATAGGTGTCGTTGGACTTGTCAATTTTTCTTCCGGCGTCTGTTTCAACTCTGAAATATTTACCAGTTTCAATGGAGATGAGGTAATAACAGGTGTTTCTATCGATTTTAACGGTGCCGATTCTTCAACTTCGGATTTCACATCTGCCGCAAATGCAGTTGCAGTCTGTTTAATAATCGTGGGTTTGCTCTCCGATGCTAAAGAATTGGACGTTTCGTCGGTAGCCTCTCTGCGGTTCACATCTTCCGAAATTGCATCCACCTTCATGTTTAACGTTTTCAAATAAGATGCCGGTAATGTAGACGAAGTGTTTATACATCTTGATTCTATGCTCGGAGTTTGTACCATTTCTTGAGAATCGTCTTCCTCTGTAATCTGCTTGGAACTTTCGTCATTTGTTATATCCTCCTCTTCCGCATCAATATCTTCTTCTTCTTCTTCTTCATCATCATTTTCGGCTTCATTAGCATCATCCTGATCTTGATCGTGTTCTTGCTCATCCTCAAACTCGTCACTCCTGCCATTCGGTAACTGTTTATCATTCATCTCGTTTACGTGAACGCCGTTCTCTTGCACAACTTCGTCTTCCAGACTTGGCGATGTCGTTACTTGACCGGTGTCTATTATAGGTTTCTCAGAGATTTCTAAACTGTTGCTATCCTCGTTAATTGGTATAGCCCCGACTTCGCCATTCGACAAGGTGTTTATGAGATTAACAACACCCTCTCGATCCCTATTACAGAGAATAAATAATATGCACTATTGACAGATTCAATAATAATAAATATTACAAAAACATATTATTGTCTAATCTATTTGTAATTGTGGTAAGAAACAAAACTTACTTAGCAACTAGCTCCCAATTCTCTTCGTCTAAATCTTCCCTATATACTCTTATGTTGCATTCCTCATCCAGTTGACACCAATATGCTAATCCACTTTTGTCCCTTCCTAAAGGTTCCACACGCAATTCATCAGCTGCCAATTTGTTTACTTCATTCTTAAATTTTTGATTTAAATCAAATTGCGTTTCCAATAGTACCTAGAATACAAAAAAAGGACTTGCGCATGAAGAAAATGTATAATTAAATATTTCAATCTTATAAAAAGAATAGAATAGTTCATACTTTAAGTAAACGCAGTTTAACAGCAATGCGAGCCTTTTTATAACCAAAGCGTTCAAGTTCCCATCCATCCTGATTAGAGTACGTGTGGCAAAACTTGACTAGCGCCCGTTCCCATTTTTCTGGTGATACACTTTTACGTGTCTTACGCAACAGCTTGATGTGCAGGTCTATTAATTCTCTTGACACTAAAAAAAGTACATAAAAAATGTATAAAAATAGCAAACAAATAAATAAAAACAAAGTTTCTAATATTGACCCAGTAAACAGTTATACATGTCAAAGCTTTCTCTCAAAAAGGATCATATTCACTTATTTCTTAAACGTATGTAATTGAAATTAAAAAAATAAAAAAATAAAAGAAATATCACATTGTTGTTATTCCGTCGTTGTTAAATATCTCCAACAGATTTAATTCAAGAGTATTAAAAGGGAAAGCAAGTAAAGCCTGCTAAATTTGAATGAAAATACAAAAAGAATGCTTAGAAAAACACAAAATAACATCGCTTTGTTTACATAGAAGTTTTTCGTAGGATTAAAGAGACCCGTCTGACGACTAGATTCACGGTCGCATACTCGTCTCGTGGCACGACGATCAATGACATTTCTAGGAAAATTGGAACAAGCCGGCGCCGCTTGTAACTTGTAATCACGTGTAACCGACAAGTTGACAACAAGGAAGGTGGCAGCACGCGGCGGAATAACAACAATGTGAAATTCTATCCTCGCGGTTGATCTGTCAGAGGAACGCTCGGCTTAGGGAAAACATGTCGTTGCGCCATCGGAAACCAGAAAGGAAAGGGACACAGGATGAAGGCACTCGTTTCTCGCGGTCGCCTCCAGCTATATATCTCGCGCCAAAACGAAGAGCCAGCGCTCGCTCGCTCGCGCGCGCGAGAGAGAGAGAGAGATTCGCTCGCCGGAACGAATCAACAAACGGAGGAGCGAACGAGGCCTCTCGGTCGAAGCGGAGTCGTACGAAGGAAACTAATAGTACGGCGCTTAGACGACTGGCCTTTTGCGGGGGCGGGTCGCTCCGTCGTTCCTTCTCGCTTCCTCTCGCGTATATTCCACATTCCCCTCTCTCTCGTACACACACATACACGCTCACTCTCTCTCTTTCTCATACACACAAGCGCTTATATACCGTGTCTCCTCCCTCCCGCGCACTCGAGAGAGCACATACACAGAAGCGTAAAAGGAAGAGAGAGAGAGAGAGAGAGAAAGAGCGCGGTAAAAGAGACCCACCTTCCTGCGTGTTCTCGAGCATCTCCTGGAGCCGCGCGATGTCCGGGTAGACGATGCCGCAGGACTTGCCGAAGCAGCCAAGAAACGAGCAGATCACCGCGAAATTTGGGTCACTCGCGCAAGAGGCTTCGTTATCGGACGCCATTTTTCCGACCGCTTCTCGCCGTTGGGCCCCGTCGCCACCGCCGTCACCGCCACCGCCGCCACTGTCGAAGCCGAGGCGAGAGAGCGCACGCTACTACGCTAGACAGCGGCAGAATGGGTTGCCGCGCATCCCATTCTTCTCTCTTTTTTTTTTTTTTTTTTTTTTTGTCTTCTCACCGGATTCTCAGCGTGGAAAAATCCGTTTTTTCGATGCTGCTCCCTCGTTCTTCCTCTCTCTCTCGCTCAGTGTCTTCCAAGAGCACAACACGCACGGACACTTACGAGAGGAATAGAAAGAGAGAGAGAGAGAGAGAGACGGAGGTACTTGTTCCTCCGCCCTCTCTCGACAGCGGACAAGCGAAAAGAAGCGGCGCCGCCGCCGCTTCTTCTGCCTCGGGATCTCTTTTTCCCTCGTGCACTCTATTATGTCGTCGCACTTTCTCTCGCCTCTTCGCGATGATTTTTTTTCCTCACGAATCACGGACACACGGACACATCGCGCGTTAGAAGTCTAATGCGCGCGTTGTTTCCTTCTCTCCTCCCTCCTCTCGTTCCTCAGTCTCTGTCCGTCTCTCTCTTTCTCTTTCGCTCGCACGTACACACAACGCACGCTCGACGTTTCGCTCCGTCGATGCCGTCGAGAGCGCGCGACGACGTCGAGATGTCGGGGAAATACAGATATATGTATGTATGTATATATATGTATGTATGTGTGCGTGATAGACGCACCTCGCTCGCGTAAAAACGGATGTCGCGCACCACGGAACGATTTAGCACTCGCAGCGCGCTTTTTCGCAGAACTCGCGTCCTGGACGGACGTGCGCGATCGCAGAGTCACCGGGTGTATACGAGCGGCGCAGTAACGACCACCACGACGACGGCGAAGCGCATCCCCCTTCCTTGTCGCGCGCAACACGGAGCACTGGACATCGCCTTCGGGATTGGAAACACTCCGGGGGTTCTCAACCCAGCACTCGCACAGTCGCCCCTCCCCAGGGCCGTCTCCGCGCGACCGAGCGCCCGAGTTCTGAATTCTTAGTTTTTTTTTTCTTTTTTTTCACCGAGAAATTATATTTGATTTTTGGTTATTTTTATATTGCGTTATAGGTCTATTCAATTTTTTGGGGTTTTTATAGGAAATTGTTGAATTTTTTTTCGATTCTTAGTCTTTTCAACAGAAAAATTGGGTTTTGTCTTTGGTGTTATTGTTAAAATCTAGTATGGAAAGTTATTGTTATTCAGATAATATAAATATTTTGGAGCTGTTATATATTGCTGCATAGAAAAGTCATAAATAAAATTTAAAAAAAAAAATGGAATATATTTCTATGACGAAAAGATGAATACTATATTTATTTTGAATCGCGAGATGAAACCTGAAACTACTTAAAACTAAGTTTGCTTTTCCGAAAATGCAGACTAATGATAATTCTAAAAGAAAACAATTTTTTATTATTAAATAAAAAAAAATGACAGGGGCTCTCAACCGACTTGATCGACCCTGCGATTGTACCTGGCGGTCTTTAAGCCGCGTTCACGAGTATACATGTGTCTCACATATATACATCCCCCCCTTTTTTATCTACGCGATTATTATCTTCCTAATCACGCACGAGGCTGACGGCTGACGTTTATCCGACTAATATTGGCGCATCGGTTTTATCGTCACGTGCTCGCACGCTGAACGCGAAAAATCATTTGGTAAAGAGCGCGAAAATTCGTGAATCAAAATTCAACTGCAAAATTATTGCCAGAGTCTCGCGTTCGCTGCACCGAACGACTCGTTCTCGCTCGATGACGTATCTGCGCAGTTCGCGACCAAGAACATAAAGAGCATGAGCACCGTGTCGCAGGGGTGACATTAGGATCCCCAGGTGCCCTTGCGCATCGCATATGATATACAGAACTCTCTGTGTTAAATTATTTCGTATCGTTGAATCGAGACATTCTGAATTCTCATACATATCTCTCTCTCTCTCTTTTTACGATTTTTTTTTTATGTATAAATCGAGAACGATCAGCATTGGAACGTAAACGTACGCGATACATTTAGGATTGATTATGGGCCTCTCGGAGTTCCAAAACTCGCGACGTTCCTGACGACAAAAAGGGAAAGGACGCGGGAGGAGGCTTGATCGCTCTCTTGCGAGAGCGCACGCTTCTTTCAAATTTAATTCCCGAGATGATCGCGATTCTTCCACAAGCAACTTCCAGGCCTGCTATATATAACGCACAATAACTCGCAAGATATATTTTTGTTCCCCATCGGCTGTCGTTCGCTTAATTTGTGCCTATACACCTGTCTGCGTCTGGCATCAACTTTCAAAGATACGCTCCGAGAACGTAAATTAGCTTACAAACAGAAACACTATAAAATCTAGCGGATGTTTGATATACCGTTATTGCCAGACAATGTTATATCGCTTTTTGCATTGTTCTTTGAAAAAAGGAATACCCGGAATTTTGCAATATACGAATTCTCGGCGAGCTCTCTTTCTCTCAGTTTCCGCTGGCCGAATGATCCTATTTATTTAAAGAGCTTTTCAGGAAGAAAATACAGGTGGACACAAGTCACGTAAATTGGTTTCGAATAAAGAATTGTTGATATCTCGAATTTTTTTTAATAAAAAAATATGTGACATGTGAATTTCTTGCTGGAAAGCTCTCTTTAATACTATACTTATAGACCATCGGAATAAGAAGATATATATTCTAGTGTCTTTGTAGACGAAATTACAATTTTTAAAAATTGTTAAATCCTAATAAAAAAAAGCTCTTGCACATATACATTCAATACCCGTATTACGAGAATGGGATATTCGCTTAAAGGGACACTATTTTGAAGCGAGAGCGTGCAGAGTGGCGTTGCCAATGAGTCGAGTTTTGCGATCGATCGGCGTCGAGGAGGTGGCGTCCGAATATCCGTCTCGCGGAAATCGAACGGGAACCCGAAGAGGAATTGACTTCGTGCGCCACGTCGTCGCCAATCGATAAAAAAAATTCGCGATTCTTTTTGTTGCCGGGGAATTCGGCAGCTTCCGAAAGGAGCCTAGGCGCGGGAACACCTAGGTGTGTCAACGGATTAAGTTATTTATCGATTGGCGAGCTTAGCCCACCCCTGAGAGAATTATCCGAGAACGCCCATAGGCGCGACGATTCCGATCGATCGCATCGTCGACGAAAAGTCGAGGGACGAGGGAACGATCCGCCGAAAAATATACGTGTTTCGGATTGAAAATAGTTTCCATCGGGTCCAAGCTTTCCGTGCCGTGTAAAAAATTGGCCTTGCGCCAATCGTCGACGTGTCTTTCACCAGGAGTCCAACGTAGAGATCATCATCTGTGATACTCTCTATACTTGGAGCAGAAACTAGCGTAGGTCCCTTTTGCAGAAGAAGGATGCGGAGAAAGGAAGTGTCTCAGGATACGACGGTTCTATTTCCAGGATTAATTTATGTCCGGATATACTGTAAAAGAAACATAAAACAATAAAAAATCCATAAAACAATAGGATAAACTCTGTTGAATCATTAACATGCGGCGTAAAATCTACTCTTAATCGAGAGAATCAAGCGAGAATCAAATAACAATTAATTAAATTGCTTTTGAAATGCGTAATTCATCATACACGATGCCGCGATGAAAATATTTAACCCGCGGGAAATATAGGAGTATTCAACAAGTGGTATACATATATCCGTGTTTCTTTATGTATAATTTATATGTATTATTTACACGAGTTTTTTTTTATCCATGATCAACACACGTGGTTACTGATATGAAATACTTTCGTGTTCATGTAAAAAAACAGTCTTTATTCCCGAATGAAATCTTTGCAGCTCATAATTAACAACTTTTATTGGTTTTTATATATAAAGTTATATTTACAATGTACATTGTGTGCTAGAAAAATCTTACTTTAAAAAAAGGAATCGTATCCTAAGTATAGACCGTTGCATCCCACAACTTTCTGCCGCAGTGCTTTGTACAACGCGTTTTTTTTTCTTTTTGTACCTGAGGTCAACTACTTTCTTGCACATCCTCTGCTGTACACCTTCTCATCGTTTTGCATTTCGAGATATCTAAATTATATTGGTCGCATACTCTAGGATCTAATAATCTTAATATCGACATTAAATTAATATCGATATTAAAAATCTTCATTTTTATTTATATTTTTGTTCACAACAGCTGTTGATTTATCACCGAAAACTTTATAACCGCTTAGTACAGCCGTTAAAAAATATTTGGAATGCAATTATTTCATATTAAAAATCATGTGAAGCAATGTATTTTGTAATTTAAATTTGTAAAATTATTTTAAGCACCTTTAATATTATATATGTTCGAGACTGTTTGCCGAATTGATTTGCTTTCCACATTATGCGTTCTATTTAAAAGCACAAGCAATTTCATCTGATGTAGATATCTCAACAATGTACAATTTTAGTTAATGTTAATTACAATTGAAGAAAAAATTTACATAGACTTCATTATTTAATAACTTTGAAAACATGTTATATTTCATTTTATATTTCAATGTTTGATAATAATCAATTTGTAACAATATTCATAGAAGCATAATTTGCATATTTATAAAAGTACAATATGTATAAAATAGATCATGGTTTATACAAACCATTAACGGCACTAATATTTGTGCTGAGTTTCACGCATCTTTTATCATTACTTAATAACTGATACTGCACACAAAAATGACTACATATCCGATGAATGTTGAACAGTGACTGAACACAATCAACATCCTCATCTAAATAGAACTTATTATATCTCAACATTGTGATTCTAGTAATGAATGAATAATGGAGAGGAAACAATAATCGTCTAATTATCTCTCTCATTCTTTTCATATAAAAATGAATTTTATATACATTTATTACAAAGAGAATAAGACCTATATTTTGTACAGATGATCTTAAGATATGTATTGGATTAAGAGTGATAAACATTTCAAAGAAAAGATGAGAAACATTTCTTTTTCGAAGAAATAAATGATTCAAATAATTTAATCTAATAAAATTAAATTTAGTTAAAGAATCATTTTAGAAATGTTGAGTCAATGTAGCACAATTGTTATTTAATATTTAGCTATTTGTTACCTAATTTAAAATTTTTATGCTATTTAATATGCTCTGTCTGCAGAATTGATATTAAATAGCTTAAATTTGATACATTGTGTGGAAAGCAAAGTAATTTATATAAATATACAGTTGCTGTATAACTTATATGTAACATTTGATATATATCAAACTGTAAATGTTCTTGACTAAAAAAATTTAGGCAGAGATTAAACTCTACCAAAAATTATTTTTATGTTTTACAGTATTCACTGAATAGAAATAACTCATGCTTATTAAAATACAAAAAAGGACATTAACATTTTATCAGGATGTGAAAAATGATCAGTTTTCTATAACTATTCATTATAAAATTGTGTTAGTAATGAAATAGCAGACCGTTACTTATGGAAACAAAATATATCAAAATAGAAAAAGAAGATTCATATTATGATTATTTCTGGACTCGGCAATATGATAAAATTTGCTGTAATCACCAAAATTTCAAAATGTCTTTGTATGAAGAAACAAGTTTGATTTGTAAACTATAAAACCAAATATGAAATACCTGTACAAAATCACTTAGATGCTATTTGCGCTGTGATGTTCTTGAGTTGTTGCTTATATCTTTCCGCTTCTTTCTCTTTCTCTTGCAATTGTTTACGATACTCGGCGGCTTGTCTTCGCGCTTCTGCTAATTGTCTGCTTAATATCGCTACATCTGTTATTGGCTCGCTGTTTCCCGGATCATCTTCAATTACTTCTTCTATATCATCGTTCAATTGTAACACTGTTGATTCTGCGATCTTAGTTGGAAAACTCACAAGTTTCTGCAATGTAAAAATATTTTTGTGTGCATTGCCTATTATTATATTTTACATTTAAATAAATAAATACATTTTACCTCCTTCAATGGAAGTGAGTTCTTAATTTCAGTAATAGTAGGTACCGTTGTAGTATTAGGGATTGTTGTAACAAATAACTTTGCAGCTTTATTTTCTACAGCAGATCTTTTTAAAATATTTGGACCCCGTGTAAGAGCAGACGTATTAGAATTTGGACTTAAAATTTTGGATTGAATTTGGTCTGTTCTAATTGCTATAACTTTTCTCCCTGTTCCTTTTCGCGATGCAACTTGAAGGCGTTTAATTGGCGAACCTTTCGTCAAATTTAATGCAAGTTTTCCAGCTTCTGTAATCATATATTATTAACATGAGAAATACATATACACTGACAGATTTTCTTTTTAAAATATTTAAAAAACAAACCTGTCAGAACTACTGTTCTTCCACTTTCCACTGCATTCTCTACAATGGATGATTCATCATCCATAGGTATCATTGTGATTCCATGTGCTTCTAATAACCTAAAATGTTTGTTAATATTTCCTATCGACATAATATCTTTATGTTTTTTATTATTTGTAATAGCATTTGTATTGATCATTTCAACATCCTCGATTTCTTTGTCTTGTTCACCATCTGTGTTGTTTGGCGATACGGAGATTTGATGAAAGATCATTTTTTGTTTTTTCTCATTTTGTGCTAGAAATTATGAATGGACATTAAATCAAAATCAAAATTGTGAAAGTAAATAAAGAAGTTAATATCTAAATAAATATGTTGGGATATTAGCTACCTTGAGAATGTTTACGTTTACGTTGTTGCTTTATTTCAAACTTGTACTGCTCCTCTTCCTGCATTATCGAACTTCTGCTATTGCTTTCAGCGTCTAATTGTACTAAATTATGCGTAGCTACTTCTAGTTCTGCAGAATTAGTCTGACTCTGTTGATTAGTTTGGATACCTATTATTTCTCTTTGCTGTTGCATTGTATCCACTAAGTCTAACCTATCATTCTCTAATGCAAGACTGATCGGAGTTTTATGGAATTTACTAGTTGCATTTGTATCAGCTCCATGATCTAATAAAATATGCATTACATCTAAATGTTCACGTTCTACCGCCCAATGTAGTGGAGTCATTTTTAGCTGCAAGAGTTGTTTATATTAATTGTAAACAAAAAACACAATAAATCTGTAATCCACCATTCATATCATACCATATCTCTGCTATCAACGTCAGCTCCATAGTTAAGCAACAATTGTACCATTTGATTATGGCCCTCGTATGCTGCCATATGTAACGGAGTTCTATCAACTTTTGTCCTAGCATCTCTCGATATTCCTGCTCTAAGTAAAACATCAGCAGTCTCTATATGATTGTTCTGCGCAGCTAAGTGAAGCGCACTTGTACCAAGCTAAAAGACAAGAATATTATAAATCATGTTCTTTTTTACAAATTAAATATATAAATATTATTGAAACATTGCATGTACCCAATCTGTAGTAAATGGTGCACCTCTACACATAAGCTCACGAACAGTGTCGGTGTCTCCATTCTTTGCGCTATGTAGAAGCTGTTTTCCAAGTTCCACCATCGTCGATGCATCTTGGGTCCTCGAATGAGTAGAAACATTGCAATCGAATAGTTCAACCTAATGACAGTTGCAAGATTATCATTAGACATTAACGATAGGCTTTATAAAATTATTACAACAGGGTAAGCCTTATACATTTTTAACAAAAAAATCGAGGAGGAACACTTACTGGGATGACAGTGTCTGTGTCCAGACTCTCGATATCGTTAGCACATATGCTTTCTTGCATAGATTGCATTCTTGCGTGTCAAGCTCAGTCTCCTTCGTGCAAACGAGCTCTGAAATTAAACAATTATCCATAACGATGACAGTAATGCCGCGAATTCGCTCCGGACGATTCGACTCATTTTCGGGCGTTAGTCACGTCGCTGTTCGACCTTGGGTCACCGGAATCCGAAAGTGGGCCATAAAAATAACGAGCTCGAGCGGCGAGGAACGCACGAGGAATCGCGCGTCCAATTCGCGCCACGTGCACGTGGTGCGTCTATCTCTCGAAATGTACGCATCGCCATACAGGATGTTTTTATTTCGCCTCGTCGTCGGGGTCGCGAGGAACTTCCTGTTCCTGTTTCATCGAACGGAAGTCCCATGCCATAGGCCCTGCGTTTCGTGCGTCAAAAAAAAACTAGCCGCACCGAACGGATCTTACGTGGATTGTACTTACGACCAGCGCATCATTCCTCGCCCTTTTCGCGATTTTTCTCGAGATCCTTCGATGCCTCCCAGGACCTCGACGTCCGCTGGAATTCTTCCTCGTCACAGTCTCTACTGTCAGTAAAGTTTCGTGAAAATGGCGACCCATTGGCGCCATTCCTAGCATCGTCCGGCTCGGACGGTAAAAACGTTCCCGATCTGTACGACGTTGTGTCACGAATTATATACATATACATAGGGTGTCCCATTTTAATCCATCACCCCTCGTAACTTTGCATGGAGCGGTTGTGGAGAAAAATGTTTCGGACAAAAGTTGTAGGGTTCAAAAGGAGTCATCCGATGGTGACCTTGATATTGACCTTGAGGTCAAATTTAAAAGTCATTTGAAGATTGATATAAAATTTTTAATTAAAATTTCTATTTCTCATTACATATTCTTGTAGCTCATCTCAAGAGCTTTTCAAAACACTAATATATATATATATAATAAAGTATTTTTTCATTTATTATTTTCCGAGTTACAAGGCTTGAATTTTAATTAAACATTTGTAATAAGACACCTTGTATGTCCTCCCAATTCAAGAGAGACAGCGATATAGGTTTTCCTCGACCAATCAGAAAAAGTTTGACGTTTCATAGAAAACCAAAAATTCATATAGACTCTGCTCTCTTATCTCTTGTTATAATTAAAGATATAACGTTAATTTAAGACGAAACAAACGGAAAAAATTCTTTTCTTATTCAATTCATATTTTTTCACGCTATTTTTTTACCTATCCATCGTTGTTACAAAGGTATATGTCTAGAAATAGAAGATACATTATTTTATAATTGCTGAATCGAGAAGAGGAGAGAGAGAGAGAAAGAGGGGGAGATCATGAAATAAAAATAATCGTTCTTGAATAATAGTGCAGAGTCATATATCGAGATGAAATATTTGGCAGCATCAGTGATCCCTCTCCTTCTCTCTTTCTCTTATTTTTCTCGCCTTCATCTGTCATGATTCGATGTTCAATTTAGCCTTTTCCTGTCTCACAACTGACCCAGAATCGCGAAGATAACGGAGTAGCAAGGTGCAATAATATATGAATAATGAATTTTGATACAAGACAAACATAACTCGGACAATGATGAGATGAGAAACGATGCAAGATGCAACTAGAAGAGAAAAACGCATTCGTCGCAAGAATATATAATGCGTGTGTATGTAAGTATAACACATACGTATACACGAAGTGTGTACATATACAGATAGATATCGATTGTGCGGCTGCGGCTCATTACCGTAATTGACATTATCGTGGTACCACGCGTTAATTCAATTATTTCGACGACATTAGCTCGCACATTTGGCCGCGACGGACTAAAAAAATAATAAAAATTATTTACTTCTTTCTCGAACGCATTTTTCGAACGACATAAAATAATCGGAGATATGCGTATGCAAATCTGATATTATATAACTAAATGATATTTTAATATATATATATATGTATAATTATCTGATATATGTATATAACTATATATATAATATACATATAAATGAAGTTTTTTGCACTGCAAATTATTTTTTTATACAGTGTAAATTTTTTGCACAAAATATGCGCTGTTAAAAGCGCATTTCAGATCATCCATAATTCGCGAGAAAATTTTATTTACAGATTTTCCATCAGAATATTATATTTATAATTATGTTGTGTAAAAAAAGATACCAGAAATGCTCGCATTTTAGTTTGACATTTCCAAGAAACATCGTATTTAGATATTTAGAATAACTATATATATATATTGATTTTCAAATCAAAATCGACAATTTTAATCATGAATATAATATGCCTATATATTCAATTATATATTAATTATATTTATATATAATAAAACATAGATATATATTCTTGTCTTGTATATCGCGAATTATAAAAATAGTCTAAAGTGAATTTTATCATTATTTTTATGAATATAATCTGATCTGAGTTTAAGAGAAAGTTTTAAAACTTATTAAAAATAAAAGATAATAAAATTTCTGGTATATATCTTTCGTTAATGTTTTTAAGAAAAGGAAAGGAAAAAAAAGAGAAAGAGAGAGATTAGAAAACGCATTAATAAAAGTTTCCTTTCTAATTATCATTCACATTGTGCACGGCGCTTAATCGAAACGAGTCATCCATATACTATATATATACATATGTATTATGTATATGCCTTCTATAAACATAAACACGTCTATGGTCTTAATCCTCATTCGTATGTTTTTATCTCACGTTGTCGCCCTGTGTTTACACTCGCTTTGTGCGTACTTCAGGTCGCGTGACGTATCACGTTTCGGACGCGTCTCGATATACCGGTCATAGTCAGTGGCGATACGCAGCGCGGAAAGGTCGCGTCCTGTGATCGTAAGTACATTTCATCCGAATACGGGTGCCGGGAGTGTTGAATCAAGCGACGCACGATCTCTCACGAACATTTGTTCATTAGTGAACGCATAATTAGTGTCGTTCGACATTCGTCTCACGTACAAGGTGCATCGAGTCGGCCAAGACGCCGCGTCGACACGAACGTTTTTTTTTTTTTTTTGCGACTGCGTTCGTGTTAAATGAGCATCGGAAGTGCGCGATATGAATAACAATCGTTATCAAGATGCATCATTAACAATTAACTGTTTTCTAATGCCGGCGCATTCGAATTCGTCGTTATATATATATATATATATATATATATATATATATATATATATATATGTATGTATATATTTCGTGTCGTGAAGAGACGCCGTGCAATTTGGCGCGTGAAGTTGTCCCGCGTAACTCGGAATTTTCAGCGTGTTTTGTAACCAACGTCGGAGTGCAAAGTGTCCGGAGAACCACTCTCCTCCTTCCGCCATGTTCACGTTATTTACATATGACATGTCAGAAGTCGCGCGCGTATGATGTATAACGAGACGCTCGATTAATGTCGTATCGCGGTAATTAATATGCGCAATTTGGTTTGTCTGTGCAATTTGCGCGAGTGAATGCGTGCTTCGATGGAACGTCGTCGTAAAGAGAGCGGTCAGAGATGTCCAGGCTAACTAAATATACGCGGGAAGCAGTAAATTTATTAGGTGAGTAAATTTACTACTCAAATTTGGATCGCTAATGAGCAAAGTTAGTTTGAATTAAATAATTAGAAAATTGCAATAATTTTAAAACGAGATATCGGTGAAAATTGTCTAAAATATATCGATAAAAATAATATTATATTCAAATTTTTGGAATTAGATATTAAAATTATACGTACACAATTTTAAGATATATTATATAATTTGAGTCACGAGAAAAATCAAGTTTATGACAAATGAAATTATTTCATAATAATTAACTTATCTTCATGTGAGATAAATTTAATATTTGCTGCATGTTTGAAAGAATAATATATAGACACGTGAAAATTAATTTAAACATCCTTAGAAATTTTTGGAAAAATATAAAATGTCAAGATGAACAATTTGATTTAGCCTTCGATTTAAAAGCAAAGTTCCATCAATGCCTCACCTTAAGCCGCTCTCGTCTATTTGCCCGATGCAATGCGTCGATATGCTCTAATCAAGCGAATACATCCAATCCTCGATATTTCCACTTGATTATCAAAGTCCGATTCACTCGGCGCGCTCTGCCAATCGCTGGTAAGCGCAGTCTCTCACACTCGATATTGTCTGACTAATATATGATCTAATGAATATTCAAATCTCAGCAATATTTATATTTTTCACTTTATTACAATGACATATTGGCCTGTATGTACCTAATAATTATTCAAATTAAGAAAAATGTTTCCCTCTTCTCCGTTTAAATTTGAACTGAAAATAATGTCACGAAATTTCAGTAAATTCAGATTGCGTTGTTACACATTCATACAAAATTAACCTGCGTGTACATCTTGTAATATTGAAAATTGAAATTTCGAAATTACATTTTCAATCTGCGCCCCTGACGAATATACACATACATGCACGTAAATCCGCCAAATATTACGTATTATAAGGCCAACATAATGAGATAACCCGTATGTAATTTTCCGATACTCCGGAAATTCGGCGGTGCTTTGGTATAGTCTCTCAGAATTTCGTAAGAGGGTTCTCCCTCTTTTCGACGAGGGATTCACGAGCAGCCTCATTTTCAGCGCATCTTATCGATGTTACGCGAAAGCTGGGTCAGCGAGAGGCAATTGCATATATATATATATATATATATATATATATATATATATGTATATATGTATATATATATATCTAGCTATCACGTGCGTGCACCGCTACATCGCGTTAACCATTCCTTATATCGTAATCTAAGGAGGTGGCCGGCCACACGATCGCGCCAAGGCGAGCTTGCATGCTTTCGTTTTACGGGGGTAGTTGGGACACGAGGTTGGTGGCCTCGTGAATTTCTCACGAGGGAAAATGCACGACGGTCGCGCATCGCGGTGTCGAGCTTTTCCCGCGTCGCGAGGGAGAGAAAAACAACGATCGCGCGCGCCGCTTTCGCTTCGCGTATATAGGTACCTTGTCGCCTTAAATTTTCGAACTTGCCAGATTAAAATTTCTCTCCGTCTTTCTCTCCGCGCCTAGAGAGTAAATCGTGCCATAAAAATAAAACCATCCACGCATATGGCGCGAAAACTATGGCAAAGGGCGAAGATCGATCGACTTTTGTGTTGTGTTTTATTTAAGACGCGACGGAAAATCGTTGGAAAACGAACCGAGAATTCGTAATCCTCTCGCTAAAAGATTGCTTCATAAAAAGAGTACATGTATAACGTTGACTCGATGGGAAGTGATAATTTGATCTCCTATATTCATGCGAATGTTTTTTAATCGACACGTTTTTCATAAGAAAACAAACATTTTTCAGTCTATATAGGATATATGAAATATAATATATATATTTTTTCATTAGAATCTTGCAATTTAGATATATGGTTAATTTAAAAACCTGCAATTATATGTGTTTGTGTACATATTTTTATTTTCCACTAAATTATTATCGATCGCGAGTATTGTGATGAATTTATTCATCATGCATATTTGCGATGAATTTATTCATTATATTTGCGAGAGATTGCGAGGTTAATTAAAATTTACCAACGACCGGAAACATAACAAAAAAAAGGAAAATAATCAAAATTATGACTGTTGCATTAAAATTAAATACTATTATGACAATAGTTTAATATGTTTATACACGCTGCAGCGAGAGTGATGTAATGGCATGTTTTTATATTAGTTTACACGACGTTTTATTTCACTGATGACTAGTATAGTATATGCATTAGTGAGAGAGGCATCGTGTACTTTAGAACACTGCTAAACTTCAGTTTGCTTTTTTCGTCGTCCAACTAGCACGCTACTCCAATTAAAATATTCAAACTTTACCAACGACTAGTATAGTACTATGCTTCACCATCTGCTAATCTTCTCATAAAAATGTCATAGATTGCAATCACGTTTTTTAATAGACATATCTCGGATAATCTTAGGTGATAACCAATACGAATACGAATTATTTTATCCAGTGTTTTAATGTTTAATATTGTAGTATTAACATTAGAATTCTTACGAAAACGGAATCTATTTAAAAAACCAAGGACTTTTTGTTTCAACATAGTTAAATCAATTTCAAACTATAATAAAATACATAAATTTTCGATAGTCACTTATTTTTTTTTTGCTCATCGATCTCCACTTTGATCGCAAACTGATTTATTGAAAATATGTTGTAGCAAAGGCCTCAAATTTTCAGATTTGTCCTTCTCTCAGAAAATATAGTCACCGTAGATATACATATATTATATATAATTTGTTCTCTCTCAAACGTGGATTTTTAGCACGCCTGTGAACAAATACGTTAATAAAAAAAAAAAAAAAAAAAGCATCGTGTCAACTATGTCTTTTACGCGTAAACGCGTGCATGCCGCGTTTCGTGCCGTGTATAAGTAGTCGATTATTACGCCGCGAGTTTCATGCGGCGTTTCAGAAACGCGCTGCGGGATCCAGGAAGTGCTGCACGGGAAATGAGATTCTTGCGTGAACAATACTTGACCCGCGCGGCGCGATATATAGGTGCACGTATATATGTATATGTATGTGTTACGTCACGAGAAGAGGGCACGAAACCGAATTGGCATTCGACGATTCACGGAATTTGCGCTTTACTATCGTAACGGGGCGTCGATATCGTGCCGTCTCGATATTTTGCTATATTCGTCCGATTTTTCCTTCTCTTTCTCTCTCTCTCTTTTTTATTATTGTCCGATACAGACGTTGAATTTCCGTGTTTTCCAATAACTATGCAGTAGACGTGGCAATACGTTTGTTTGTACTTACATCGATTCCGCCGAAGATCGTATAGCAATATGCAAATCGGAAAAAATAAGCTAAAAATATATACGGCTCCTTTTTTTGTTGTGCTATAATCTAGTTTTGATCAGTAGAATCAATATTTTTTTCTACTAGGGAAGAAAAATAACTTGCAAGAAATCGCTCTTTTCCTTCTCGGAAACTCGGTGAGTTTGCTGAACAAATAAAAATAAATAATCATCTTAATGCGCTTTTTACGATGTTCATCGAGGTTCGCGTTTCGCTAAAAAAAACTGTGTTCAAATTTCGAGACTTAAAAACTATCACAGTATGTTAAACCGGTTAATCGTCCGTGACCTTGCTTGGATCGCTATCTCGTAGATTAATTAATTGTCGTTCAACAAATTAAAGTTCGCCGCGGTACGTTTAAGAGTAACTCGGCCGGGAGGAAAGTTATTTCTTCGTCTTAACTGGCCGCTTCTTCTTTTTCTCCTCGGGTCGATACGGCCCCAACTTCCGGCGCACCATGACACCCCGCCACCAAGCTTGGATCCTGATCGTGCAACGTTGCACGTGATCCTCGTGTTCCTTTTGCCTTCGAAGTGCCTCCTGCTCCGCGAGATATGTGTCGATGAATTCCTGATTGCTGCAGTGCTGTAACAAATACCGTGTTTCACTGCGAGTTTACTGACGTATCTTATCGAACTCTTTGCGTCCTTCTTTGGAAAAGTGTAAGCATATCTTATATAGAATCCATGGAGAGCTTTTTTATACGACGATCGTAAATCTTCATAGACAATATATAAGGAAGATGAATCTTATACATATAGTATATAGATGTATGTGCGATAAAAGCGGGGACAAATAACAAATATTTTAGAAAATCAGATATTATTTGATACATTGTTAAAGTATCTACTTAGGAACAAATTTATTACAGAATATTACTCCATGGATTTAAGATGTAAAATAATGTATTAATTGCCGTTTATAAATGATACCTTTTAGTTTTCTGGTTAATATGGTTAACAATGTGAATTTAAAATTTACAATTTAAAAAAATTTTCCAATTTATTACAAGTATATTATTAATTTATTAATATATTATTAGAAATTATAGAGAAATGTGAGACGCGATATTTATATTAAAATATAATTTCTTTTAAAAGCAAGAAAAAAAAGTGAAATTAAATCTTTTTGTAATTGAACTTTCGCGATTGTACTATGAAAAATATTTCATTCCTTATACTCTATACAACAAATTCTGAGAGAGTTTGAAAATTAATGAATACAAACACTGCACTTTCCATCAACGGGTCAATCCTAGCTTAAATGTATATACCAATCCGAAATGTATCATTTATGAAGGACTCTCGGGAGTTCAGAAAAATCTTTCCAATTCATTTACAAGTATTATTGATTCACTAATATATTATTAGAAATTGTAGAGAAATGTGAGACGCGATATTCATATTAAAATATAATTTCTTTTTAGAAACATAATATGAAATTAAATATTAAATATTGTATACTACGAAAAATATTCCGTTTCTTGTACTCTATAAAAAAAATCTGAGAGTTTGAAAATTAATGAGCAGAAACACTATTCCGCCAACGGGTCAATCCTGGCTTAAATGTATACCAACCCAAAATGTATCGTTTATGAAGGGCTCTCGGGAATTTAGAATTCTAGGATGCCGGTTATTAATAATGATCATCGAGACATTTCTGAGTTTCAACCTGAGGCGAATTATCGATCATCCGGCATAAACTTCGGGACGCCCTTTAAACAAGGCCGAATCAAGTTACCCAAGCTCGATTGTCGAGGCGATAGGCTTATGGCGAAACGTGATGTAGTAAATTAGACAGTCATACAGAGAATACAAAATAAGTCTGATTGCGCATATATATACATATATATATATATATATATATATGGGCTTGTGTTGCCTAGTTGGGAAATCCTCCTTATCCGGCAATTAAAATTCACAGTGGCGGCGGCCAAAATATAACGCAATGCTGAGAAATGTAAATTGAATTACTTTGTTTCACGCAGCACCGTTTCTGACGCCTGGGAATGAAATGAAAATATTTCTCGTAACGTAACATAGTTTTCGAATCATTACCTCCGTTGTAAGCTGCTCCAAGTATTTCTGAGCATCTTCTATCTCATTGCGCACTTTGCAGATCTCTTTCTCATACATTTTCTGCTCCTGCTCGTACCTCCGCTGCCATTGCTCGATTCGATTTTCGATGAACTATATTAATTCAAAGCAAATATTTTTGTTATCTTTGTAAGAGTGCTACACATTTAATTTTAAATTTTCGCGATAAAACTTATTTCGAGCAAATTACTTAACGTGTTTGACAAAAAAACATTGAATTTCTGTTAACAAACTTGCTAAAAGGGATCGTAAAACGCTCGAATCTCGAAGAAGAATCTTTTTTCGCAACATTTTTAGCTTCCTCGCTAAAGAATTTACTGAATATCGCTTAAACGTCTGCCTTAATTTTAATGACGGAGTAGCCTTTTAAGACTTTAAAATACTTTAGTGTACAAGCTATCAAAGAACTTTTCTAATATATTTTAAAAGGAAAAAATTGGGGGAAAAAAATTGCGCTCACCGCTATACGCCACGTCAAATAACGCGTCAATTCGGTATTCACGTAATTTTCGTTTTTCTCGCGTACGTAATAATTATTCAAAGTCTTCTCTAATTGGTCCATCTTTAACTTATAACGCAATACATTCTGCCCACGACGTGCCGTCTCCCACGTTTGTACGTATCTCATTTCTACATCCTTAATTAGTTTTAGTTTCTCCTTCTCGTCCTAAACATATTTTGCTAATAAGTTTTGTTCAGCATGACTTTGCTTATACGCATAACAAACAACAGTTAAACAGTTAAAACTTATTGAGATGATTTATCGTCATTGTATTTCGTGCGATACTTATACAGAGTGTCCCAGATCTACCATATCACACGTTAATGGGAGATTCCTGAGGCGATTTGGAGACGATTTTTCCTCAGCAAAAATGTCGAGAAGGGTCATCATTTTTTTTGTTCCCAATTTTTGAAATCGTGTATCTTTGTAACTAAGCCTTAAATTAAAATTCTATTCAAGTAAACTTTACCTGAAATTAACTAAAAAATGTAGTTTTGTTAATAATTTATTTTACGAGGCTTAGTTTATAAAAAAGCTCTTATTTTCAATCGTTTATAATTCGAAAATTATTGGTGCCTATGGACATTTTCGCAGAGGAAAAATCGTCTCCAAATCGCCTCAGAAATCTCCCATTAACGTGTGATACGGGAGGTTTGGGACACCCTGTATGACATAAACTTTTCTCGACTTGTGCGTAATATTGTAACTATACCCGTGTTAAAGTGAACTTTGTTGTTAAACTTTCCTCCTCCTTCTCGTTCGACGTTTTCTTATCGACCATCGTTTTTCGCAACTCCGTTATGATAGTCTGCATTTTTTCATTCTGTTCCGATAAAAAACGATCCTTCTCCTCCTGCGACGTGATTCTCTCGATCTCCTTGATTAGTACTTCAATAGTTCCGCGTTCGCTTATTTCTTGCTTCAAGTCTCGCATTATACCGCTCACATATAAACTGCAACATTAATACTCTGTGTATATGGATATTATTCGCGGTCGAGTTTGCGCATCAAATTTACGTTGTTAATAGTGTATTAACCTTTAGAGGGCGGGAAAATTTTGGTTCAAATCGACTTTTCATTTGACCCAAAATTTATATATAATTTCATCGGATTACTCATTCTAAGTTCCCAACCTGACAGGTGGTCGATATATCGACCACCCCCGGCCGTAACGTAAAGGCCAATATAAAAAATTTTTTTTTGCTGTTTCAGCCTCAAAGTTGGTATATTCATGTTTTTTGATGTTCTGAATACGAAAAACATATTGGAAAAAATCATCCTTGACCTCAAAATGACGATCTATTTTGTATCAAAAGCGCAGTGAACTCCAACTACATCCGTGGAGATGCACAATGGCTTCTTCAGTCCCTCTTATCTAAAATGAAGGTGGACGATGCCTTCCTAAAAATGTTAGGTTAGGTTTTACGATACGCAGTACTATTTTTTCGCACTTAGCGCATAAATAATGTGGCTATACGAACTTTGAGGCCAAAATAGCGAAAAAAAAGAATTTGACCTTGAAATGGCAATTTCCAAAGTCAAGGATGCCTTCAGGATTTTTTTCACTATTTTTTCTTTAATAAACACACCAAATTTTGGCTGTAAACATCAAATAGTTTGTGTGCCTTGGGTGGTCGAAATATCGACCACTCCCGCCCTCTAAAGGTTAATACACTTTGAATTTTCCCAAATACAGCACAATATTTGGAGATCTAATATACTTGTATATTATTATAGAATGATTAATATATAAATAAATATAATTGGTCAACAAACAAATATAATTAATTTATATTGAAAAGATTTAATCAAAAGAAATAAACGTTGTAAAGTTTGTATAAATCTGCGGCGTCTGATTTCATGGAACTCAACTAATTAAGAGTTCCTGGCTTTATTTTTAATCATTTTTGATAGTAAACAAATATATATATTCTGACCATTAAACGAGAATACTTGGAGACAAACTAAGACGTCATTCATGCAGCTTCTAACTTTGTTCTACGGCATTTTTCTTATCAGCAATTACAGGATTTAATTTATTTTTCTACATGAGTTTTAAAAAGAGTTCTGCCTTCTAAAAATTGAAAAAATATTAATTAAGTTAAAATAAAAACAACTGGATATATTTATAAATATCAAGATGAGACACCAGATTTTCGATTTTCGAGAATTATATTTATTCTAAAGCTATCTTTTCGAACAAATCTCCTTCAAGATTTGATTATATTTATTAGCTATTAGAATGAAATTGTCGATGTTTGTAGAATAACGAATAGCCTCGATGAATATCAGACAATTCGAGCTAAGCCCTGTAATTAATTAGTATATAAAGCATAATCGTTTCTAACTTTGGTATTGTAATATTTATCAATCGCATATCACAATTTCAACGTTTATAGGACATGTAATTGTTCGAAACGCATATTTCGCGAGAGAGAAATTCAGTGTAAAATCTATGCCAACAGTCAACAGAATCCAATCTAACTTTATCTATTTTCGCGCGCATGAATGTGTAGCGACTCGTGAATATATCCATCTTTAATTTTAACTTACATATTTACATCATGTATGTTATAATGCAAAAAATAATAAGATAGCTCTAGTTATATATATATATATATATATATGTATTTTATTTGTTACAGGTAGCATTGCTGATAAATTACGTACGAATTCGCGAGATTTTCGATGTTGCTTCGTTCGATTATAGTTTTCGTGTTATTTTTCTGATGCAATGTACGCGAAATACGCGTGCGATTCGCGCGTCGTGTCGGGAGTGCCGTGTAAAGTGTCGGGCGATCGTAATTATTCGTGTTTTCGCGAGTATCGCGAGTGCTACAGGAACAATGACTGTCGGCCAAGAGAGAAGGAGGCCTGGGGCGGCATCGGGCGACAGCGGGGCAACTGTGAGGTATGCAAATAAAAATATTTTTTCCTAAACTGCATATATTGTTTATGAGATATTCCGACTATATGCAGACTTTCAAAACACCCTGCACACCACACACATACGTATACACCTATACATAATTTGAATATTTTGTTTTCAGATCAATGTGCTGTGTACCAGAACTTCGCTATTGCATATGCACGTATCGGTGAGTGAGAAATTGTTTATTTTATAACTTTTCTATGGCAATAAATGGAAATGTATGAAGCTGGCGTCTCATTTCGTATAATTAAGAAAATTGGAGTAAATATTATAAGTATATAATGATATCTATTTTTAAAAAAATAAAAAACGGCGAATATAATTATATTTGATTAGGTTCCCACGATTTTTAAGTCTCTTACGCGAAAATGATATAAATAAAACAATATAGATTTATTTGAATTTATTTCTCCAGGAATTATTACGCATATTAATTTGCTATATAATTTACATAGCAAAATGCTTATATAATTTATTTCGGAGCTTTCCGCTCGACGGTGATTTATTAGGTGATCCGCCATTACCGAGTATGTCGGCTTTATATTTTCAAACGGCGTAGACAAGCTAAATGAACAACCTGTCTCGTTGAAGCTTTTCACGTACAGCTTTCTTCCGTGAATCCGTCATCTCCGCGACGTTTCCGATAAGCGATTGCAGAACTGACGTTTCCGAAATACTGCAAATAAATGTACAAAGACAGACCATCACGATGTCATTTTTTTTTTTTTTTTTTTTTTATCAAGTATATTATATATCCGGTCGACGTACTCAACTTCGGGGTAAAAGTTTGCGACCTCGCCTTCCATCACCGGTTGTTGTCTCAGAGTGTTATGGTAAACAGCTAATGAGTCTGCGCATTCTTCTAAGACCTCCAGAACAGCTTCTCGTTCCGCTGGCGAGAATTTTACGGAACTTTCCACCTCTATTAACGCTTCCATTTAAATACCTTTTTTGGCTAATTTACACGAATCGGATTTGTTGGTCGTCACAAGCGTGACGCTGTTATTTGATATAAGGTTGCACACACACGTATGAAAGATAAAACTACGAAGTGCGAGAATATAACTTGAAAATTGTTTTGATAACAGTTATGAAAATAACAAGATCAAATATTTCGCGCAGCAAGGTTGTTTCGTACAGCGGAATAAAGTTTATACGGTTTCACGTGGCGCATGTATAATACATGCACATGTATACATATATGTTTTATATCCAATGTTGGCAAATTCAACGTTAAATACATCCAACTGGTAGATACATCATGTCAGTCTGCATCTATGTGATGAATCAATTTATCACGCGTCCGCATGTAGATTTACCTCGATTTCAGTATCATTTTCTCCATTTACCCATTATACTTCCATAAATTCTATCAACAGCGGAGAATCGAAATATAAATCATCCTTTCGAAGAAACAGCTGCAAAGTAGATGCACTCGGGCTGCACGATTAAAGACACGATTAGTTTTACACATAAATAGGATTCAACTTTCCAAATTGTAATTATTCCAAATTTCCATAATATAAGTATATTAAAAAACAGTAACGAGAAACAAAAAGATAATAAAGTTAGCATGCATATAACGATTAATTTCAACAAATAATCACTTTAATGCAATTATGCATAATACAATACTTTTTAATAATATTTGATATATTGTTTTTTTTTTTTATAAAATAATACTATAATACGTTTCAATTTAATTTAACAATAATTGTTATTATTTTCTCATTTTCGTTAACAAACAATATTATATTTATTATTTTATTGTATATACGAAAGCAAGAAATACGTACTCAATATAATAATTCGCTTTTAATATACAGTTAAATCTATATAACGCAATACACGTTGAAAGTGGAAAATGCACATTCATATAATATTACCGTACATGTGCAGACAGACCATTACAAATAAGCGGACATTTTTCCACGGGTTAATTAGCACATCACCGGTCGCAGACAACATCACATCGCAGACAACATCGATCTCGACATGTGACTGTATTGCGAAAAAAAAGAACCGACCAAACTCCGTGATTCCGCGAACCTTTCGAGCGAGTTGAACAGTTTGATCCATCGCCGCGGGCTGCCGTGGAAACGAACCCAGGACATTAAAGCGATAGAGTTGGCGCGAGAGGAAAAAAGGCAGGGCTTTTCCACGCAAAGAGCAGCGCAAATGAAAAGGAAGCATTTGTCGAGGAAATAATTTCTTGTGATGTTAAAAACTCGAAGCTTTTGAAATATATAACTTTTTCAAATTAACTTCGTTGAATCCCCGCGCTTTGAAAATTTTTTTTAAACGAAAAATGAAATTGCTATACGCAGAAAACGAAATCGAAGAACGAAAATCGCGTAGAAAATCTGCGGAAAGTTGCGATTTAACGCGCGCATATACATATATTGTATATATCGCGTTATTCTCATATGCACGCTCTCCCGAAACGCGATTTTGCTTTTTCGGAAAAGTTCGAAGAGAAACTCTTGTCAAAAAGTCTCAGCCTTTAAGGGTGTAGACATGTAATGCGAACGCGAAAGAAACCAAGTACATCTCGGCTTATATCGTACATGAAACCGAGGAAATGTACTGTATATGTTCTGCTGAACACGCCATAGGGTGCTTGCCTAGAATTATCGATTTTAGGTATCATGAAATCTTTTTTATTCGTTTTTCATTGTATTTCTCGATAAAAAACGAAAAGATATATTAAGCGATTCTCTTACTATATCATCTCTTTTAACGCTTTTATCTTATTCCGACACTATAATATAAATTCATGTATAATAATTCGTAAAAAATAAAACGGAAAAGATCACAAATTGTTGAATGCGCTATAAAAAATTTATAAATAAATACGATTAAATGTAGTTGGTTTTATGCTGGATCTTACTTATTTTTGCGAACAGAATCATATTAGGAAAAGAAAATTGGATAAATTCGTTACAACAATATTGCTCTATCTGCTTGAAGAAGAGAGTTCTGAGAGTAATTGATCCTTAATCAATTATTCCGTTGCTACGAACAAAGCAAAAGAGAGATGAAAGTCGAAAACTGTTAAATTGATACCGACATAATTGTTATCCGATCACATGAAAAATTTTGGTCTCGAAACACGCTAAGAAAAAATTCTGTGCTGGATAAAAAGGGCGTACTACCACGTACCAGTTTGATTGGAAAAGTTTCTCTGGACGGGAGGGGACATTAATTGAATCTGCATTGTCTGGAAAGAGAGTTCTTTGCGTGATTCCTCGGACTTGTCTCCTCGTTTTGTAAAGAATCGTAAATTTGTGGAAAAAAGGTGACATCGTGATATCGTCTTTTACAACAAAACTTGAAGAATTCCGAATTGATGTGCATGTGTGTTGTATTCGTTTGTATTTTCATTATGCTGTTTTTCGAGATTTATTCAATGAATTATTTTAATGAATTTTAGACAAGTTAAAATTTATATTAAACTTTGAAATTAGAAGTAAATTTACGAGAGCCTCAAAAATTTTATAGAAATAAAATATTAAATTAAAATTATCAAGTATACGAAATATATATACGTGTTTTATGTGATATAGTAGGTATATGTTTTGTTATATATATATATATATATATATATATATATAAAATAAGTAGCCTATATAATTGTTTTGAATAAATTAAATTTTAAATAAAAAATTTCATACATCTAAGGTATGCAAAAAACTTTTTCAAATGTTGTGAACTTACATTTTTATGCATAATACTTTCATCAATAATTATAAAAAGTTTGCAATAATTTTCGTAATATATAATATAATCGATATTTTCGGTATCCTGCTTAAATATATATATATATATATATATATATACCATATATATCGATTGTGTTTGCCTCCAATTTCCCAATGATTGATAATCTGCAATTTGCAATAAATCTCTTACAAAGTCTATTTATCGATAATCCCATTGGAGACGCAGCTAATACGAAAGTCTGTAAAACAAACATAAGATCTTCTCTGTTTTTCTTTTAAATTTCTCTTTTTATGTATTCGATTAACGGAAATTTATATTCTGCGGAAGTGTCTCGTTTTATAGTGAAAGGACAAATTTAATTTTCACGCGATATAATTAATCCAAGATTTCTGAGAAGAATAACTTTGAATTTTTACACATTTTTTGATGTTAAAATATATGGACTGAAAAATTGTACTGAAAAATCAGATTATAAAATTAGGAAGTTTTAAATCTTCTAATTCTGAAGTAAAAAGAAAAATACAGAGAAATATGATTTATAGTTTAACGACTTATTTGTTTTTTTTTTACTCGTTTTAATTCTTTTTAGGAAGATAAATAATTAAATTTATGATAATTAGGATAATTAGGATATATTGCAGAAAATTCTCTTTTATATTTCGTATTGAGAAGAAAGGAGATGGAAATTTAATGATATCGTTCCATTTTATTTCATAGAAGGATCGAAAAAAAGATTATCGCGCAAAATATAAGATACATTAGTACATAAAGAAGAGAAACGAATTTAAATGCTATTAAAAACTAATTCCTGCTTTCAATAATTCATTTTAATTAGATTGAAAAATTTAATTCCTCCCGATTCTTTTTATATAATCCGCCTGCTTTTATAAAAACGATTTACACTAATTTCAAGTTACACATATGTATAATCTCTAAAGAGGTCAGACGCATATATAAGAGGTATATACACTCACTCTTTTTATACATCCGAGATATTTACAACAAATTTCCCAAAACGATGTCGCACCCTTTTTTTCCCACCTAATAGTGATCGTAATCGATAGACCGGTAAAAATAAAAATCTGAAAAGTTACGATATTTACAAGAAATTTCCCAAAACGATGTCGCACCCTTTTTTTCCCATCTATATACAATATAATAGTGATCGTAATCGATAGACCGGTAAAAATAAAAATCTGAAAAGTTAAGAAAAAGAGGTTCACGAAATTACATCTAAGGGTTACGCTCTTACCAAGATATAATTCCACCAAATTTCCCAAAACGATTTTGCACCTTTTTTTTCCCATCTATATACAATATAATAGTAATCGTAATCGATAGACCGGTAAAAATAAAACTCGGAAAAGTTTGCAACAAAAAGAGGTTCACGAAATTACATCCAAGGGTCACGCTCTTACCAAGATATATTTCCACCAAATTTCCCAAAACGATTTCGCACCCTTTTCCCACCTATAATAGTGATCGCAATCGATAGACCGGTAAAAATAAAAATCTGAAAAGTTAAAAAAAAGAGGGTCACGAAATTACATCCAAGGGTCACGCTCTTACCAAGATATTTCCAACAAATTTCCCAAAACGATTTCGCACCCTTTTCCCACCTATAATAGTGATCGCAATCGATAGACCGGTAAAAATAAAAATCTGAAAAGTTAAAAAAAAGAGGTTCACGAAATTACATCCAAGGGTCACGCTCTTATCAAGATATTTCCACCAAATTTCCCAAAACGATTTCGCACCCTTTTCCCACCTATAATAGTGATCGCAATCGATAGACCGGTAAAAATAAAAATCTGAAAAGTTAAAAAAAAGAGGTTCACGAAATTACATCCAAGGGTCACGCTCTTACCAAGATATATTTCCACCAAATTTCCCAAAACGATTTCGCACCCTTTTCCCACCTATAATAGTGATCGTAATCGATAGACCGGTAAAAATAAAACTCGGAAACGTTTAAAAAAAAAAGAGGGTCACGAAATTACATCCAAGGGTCACGCTCTTACCAAGATATTTCCACCAAATTTCCCAAAACGATTTCGCACCCTTTTCCCACCTATAATAGTGATCGCAATCGATAGACCGGTAAAAATAAAACTCGGAAAAGTTTCCAAAAAAAAAGAGGGTCACGAAATACTCGACTCGCATAGCGTTATTTCGCCCAACGGCTCAAATAGGGTAACTGTCCCTTATCTAAGGCAAGGGTGAGGACGGACCCTATCGCGGTTGTTATCGCAGTCCGAAAAGTGGACTTAACCCGCGCAAAGGATGTACATGCACATGCGGAGGCGCGCCTGCG